CAATCAGGCATGCGGCCCGCCTGATGGTAAGCGGTTACCGCAGCCTATGGACGCCTGCAACACCTGGGGCATCACATGCAACACCTGGGGCATCACATGCGCGTTGCCGACCCTTTAAGAACCTATTAACCTATTAACCTGTTTTTACCAAATGAGTATTTATATATATTTATTTCGATAATCCATAGCTCTATATTTGCATTTATGTGAGTGTGTTTCTAATTCTTCTCCTTCTTATGACTTGCCATATTTTAATGAAATTTTTCTTTGTTTACTTATGCGGTCACCGAGATGGTTCTTAATTCTGGATACGGTATTGAAATTATGGTTCTGTTGTAAAGATCTAGTTTTTTTTTTATTTATGTCTATGGCAGATTAAAGACTGTCCAGATCCGCTTTAAAGTTTCAACTTTAATTTTATTGTTTTAATTTTTATATAAGTCATCATATAAAAATTAAAATATTATTAAATTAAAGTAAATCCAAAAATGGAGTTCATTATTTACATGGAACCTAGTATTTAAGCTTAGTATGAAAAATTAATTCAAATAAATATAAACAGATGGCGTAATATATACGATGTTTGTATTACCAGCACGTGTTGCTGTTGCCTTGACAACAGGCTTCCTGCTTAATGAGTAGATAGTCTCCATTTTTTAGCAATATTTGTTTCATTATAAAAATAATATTATTGATGTTAAATACACTAATGTATACAGCATAGTTACCTAGTACACATGTCCCATTCCATACAAAGAAATTGGACAGCCTAAAAGCGGGCTATTCTAGAGCTATTTATATAAGAGGATAAATAACATTGATACAGAAAGTTTCGAACCTTTTTATTGAAAATCCATATTTTATGATGATTTAAAAATTCGACATGAAGTAAACTTTCAGATGAGCGCATTGAGCCACCTATGGTCTTACTAAAATACTATGGGAGCTACATTGTTAAAATTTAGTTTATACTTTATAGGTATCATACTCAAAAAATTGTAGTCAAATTACAAAAAATTAAAAATGGAGGTCTTTAAATAGCTTTTTAAAATTCATCATCAATATTTTCAACAAGATACGTTTAGTAGTTTTTGAGATATAAGATATTTCCCGTCTAACGCGTTTTGCTGCAAAATTAATGTTGTTTCTCATAGTATACTATGAAATACAAACTTATCTATGTCGTCAATTATATCGTAACGTATCGTAATTATTTTAATTTTAACGCTACAAACGTAGGTATGTATAATTAAAACATAGGTAATATTAAAAAATGATAGCATTCCCAGTGAGGGTTGATGTCAAGCAAGCGGCCGGTTGTAAAACTTTGACTAAATCCTATCAGTAGTGCCGAAGATGTAATGTGCCGACCCCAAGTGATTGGGAAATGGACAGGGGGGTGATGATGAAGTTTTGTTAAAAAAAAAACAAATTTAATACTAAGGAAATCTCGGTGTGCTAGTCAGACTCGCACATGTCCGATTTTATGTATGAATTTATCCAATAAAAAATAATTGTTTAAGAATATTGGTAAAGTCATAACGTCATCCGGACATTATTACATCTACATATAAACTATAATATATATATTTTATTTTATTAAGATCTAAGAAAAAATATTTTTAAACTTTATGCAATATGCATTTTTCCTATTAGCAAAAATTAGCCCTTTTTCTATTTAATTAAAAAATAATCTATAATAAACATATTCAAAGTTAAGCTAATTAAAAAAAAAACAAAAAGCAATCTCTATGTAATTCCACTGAAATTTAATCTGTATAATGTTTTCCGATTTGCAACTTGACTTGTGGCTGAATAGCTTTACACCTACAACTTTATTCCTTCACTGGTTCAAGCAAAAATAAACTTTATATCTATTATGTTTAATATATATTAAAAGAACTAATAATTTTGCAAATCAGATCTCTCAAATATTGTAACGGCGCCCAAAATCCCCGCCAAAGCGAGTAGAAATCGGCAATTTAGATTACTTTCCAACCTTTTAGTATTGATTTGTAATAGATAACTTATGATACATAAAAGAGTTAAGTACGTATATCTATTATCTTATAATATTAAATGAGCAATTCTTATACGTATGTATGTATATATACTTTATTTAGTGTATCTCGGAAATGGCTCTAACGATTTCGATCAAATTTTGTATTTAAATAAGGCTTTGCTTTTGAAGTTTATCTACATATTTTCTGAAAAAAAAACATTTTTTTTCCGAAAAACACAATTTTACAAAAAAAAAAAACGGTCGCCCAGGTACCTACCTACTTTAAATACATTAAAATAAGATCGTATTATGATCATCATCATATCATATTCGTTTTTATACAATTTTAAAATCCTGTACTTTTCTTGTACTTGTTATTACCTTTAGGATTATAGGTATAGATAGGAAAGTGTTATGACAGACAGACGAACAACGATGTGAGGGTTACTTTTACAGGTTCAGAACCCTGAAAATATTCCCGCGGGGTTTATGGGATACAATGAGGGCAATTGAAGGACACAAAGTGAGGGTAGATCGTTAGTTAGAAAATAAACTTAACAAAGTCATATATCGGTCAATTTTACGTCCTCTCATAATTTTTAATGGCTCATTTATGGCTACATCACCATAGTTTATGACCTTATTTATCGTGATTGATTTTTGATGGTCGCTCTATTGGAATTTGATGTGCAATAAAAATCAGTTAGCCAAATTGTAAGGATACTTTTGCGAATATTTCTGTACCGATTTATATTTTAATAAACAATATGGCAACAATAGTTTTTAATTAAATAATTGTAAATCTAAACTAACTACAAGTTAAGAATTAAAAAATAAACGCTACTCGTCGACTTTGACGTGTTTCTTGCATTCTTCTTCGTCATCTTCTGTTTCTTATTCTTCTAGCACGGTTTTATCCGCACTTAAGCACATGAATTCACGTTGTTCATGAACTCATGCTTATTTTTTCAAGTAAGTAGAGTAAGCCTCTTGAGGCCAAGTTTTTGACGTGAAACGTGTTTAAAATCACACATACGGGTACCGGTCAGAAAATTGAATCGTAACGAAATAGGTTGCATTAGGTTGCGATAGTAACCGTTGTTATTGTTTGACACATTTATACATATAATTAAATTTTAACTGAGTCGAATCTGTACATCTAATAGTAGGGGAGCCCAAGAGGGGATTTTTGTAGTTACTCAAGCGCGGCAAATTAACATAAAAGAGGTTACCTTGCACTCTATTGAGTACTTTCACCATAATATAAGTCTTCTATATAAAGGCGCGCGTCTAGGGAAGCCGATCAAAATATTTTAAAATTGTTTTGATAAGGTAGAAATACTTGATCACCATAAAGTTTATGGTGATTTTTGCCTCTTCGGCTTGTGCAAATCGGCAGATTATTGAATTAGACACTTTTCAGGATGTGACTAGCCTACCACACCTTAATCTGACGGTTTCAAGTATTTCTACCTTATCAAAACAATTTTAAAATATTTTGATCGGCTTCCCTAGACGCGCGCCTTTATATAGAAGACTTATATTATGGTGAAAGTACTCAATAGAGTGCAAGGTAACCTCTTTTATGTTAATTTGCCGCGCTTGAGTAACTACAAAAATCCCTTCTTGGGCTCCCCTACTACAATATTTTTTGGAAAATCTCATTTAAATAATCATAATTATCGATACGAAGGTCGAATCTATAGTTTTTAGATTTTTTGTCTGTCTGTCTGTCAGCGCCATCTGTGAATACACAACAAACCCATTATCTGATTGCTGATATTTCAATAATTATTAATCAGTAAAATTATGCAAATTTGACTTACGGGCGTACCTATTATTTAGTTTCACTTCACTTAGAATATTTTTTAAAACAATAATATAGGTACCGTTTTGAGACCTAAATTTTTATCTTTTGTTTACTATTTAACACAACTTAATAAGAAATCGGTACATGTAACGTCATCTATTGACATTTAATTGAACTAATTTTTCTTTGTTCGCAAATAGATTCGCTATTACTATATCTTCATAAAATATAACCTTTAAATTAACTCTGATATATAAGCTATATTAATGTAGAGTTTTATCAAAATCTGATCAGTGGTTTTTACGTTAAAGAGTAACAAACATACATCCCAACAAACTTTTATGTTTATAATAATTAACATTAGTAAAATTTTGTATGGCAAAATTGAGCATATTAGCTAATCACGCTACTATTTTTGACTTAGACATTTTTTTTTGGCGCACCTATCTATATAATTCTTTAATATAACTAATTTTTAATCGATAACGATATTGAATATTACAAGCAGACTAAATAAAAATATTTTTATATACATATTTAAAATATTCGTAGAGTTGATATAAATTTGCTTACCTAACTTTTCAAATTGCAAACGTTATGTACCAAGTTTATCATCATGATACCTGTGCCGCCATCTTTTAATGTGATCCACAATATTAGGTACCTATTTGTGACCGCTAAAAATCATAAAGTATTTTACAGACAGAGTGCGCCATAGATTGCATCACATTTTTTTCAATGCTAGCTAGTAGCATGGTTTAAATGTTATTAAAAAATATATAAAATATAAATTATAAATTTAAATTTTCGTAAAAATACAATAAATTGCAGTAAATAATAAATTTTCATTTAATTTGTTTTATTTTTTTTACAAATAGTGACATCTCATGACGTTTTTTATTACTATTTCATGTACCGTTGTGATTCAGGTTAATATTTCATAGATGTCGCTAGTAGTGTATAACCCAACAAAATTAAGGACGTTCAATCGTTGCTAAATCACTTTCTAATTACGATTATTTTAAAATCAATCGGATTACATCACAAAATGTTTCTATTGTCAACAAGCATGGACGTCAATTTAAATAATTCAAACTAAAACTTATAAAAACAATGTAATGTAGTAAATAATTAGTGATTGGTTTTGTTCTAGTGTTTTAGTTAAGTGTTGTGTTTTATTATAATAAAATGAAAGTTGTCGAAGCGAAGATTGTTGTTTTAGGCTCGCAAGGTAAATAATAAATTCATTGTATACCGATCTACTAATGATCCAAAGGAAGTTATTCCACAATGTAAATTGTTGTTACGAAATGGCACTGAGGTGGTCGTGGAAGATTTCTTTAATAAATTAACAATAGAAAGGCTCGAAGAAAAATTATGCATTATTTAGTACTCGTATTTTAAAATGAAATTAAAACGCAGTCTTATAAACTATAGAAAAAAATATTAAATATTTTTATATAATTTTTTTATATAATTAATTTAGTATTCCAATCATATAACAATTGCCTAACTAAAGTAAAATATAATTTTATGCCTTCGATTTTTTTTCCTAATTCGACTCATGGCATTGGAATGTAAACAAAAAATTCTCGAATTGAATTTTTATCTCGCTAGATGATAAAGAGATTTAAGATATTAGGTATAATATTTTTTTTGTATTTCCATTTTTGTAATATGATAATTGCCCTAGTAAGAAGAGTTTTTATGAATTTTAACAAATATTAAGTATCTGATATTGTGAGAAAAGCAATAACGAGTTTGTGGTATAAGTTATTTAGGTTAATATTCAATGATAAAGTTATAGCTACATTCGTTGTCTAGTGAAAAACAGAAAAGTTATCTCTGAAAAGAGCTATTATATTGTTTATAAGAAACTAGATGTAATTCTGAAGAGATCTGTTTGTACGTGTGTATTACTATGCATTCTACTGATTACAAGTTTCTCATTATTAACTCGCAACTTATAAAAAGTATACACATAATCAGTTCTAGCTTTACATAAAGGCTTACCCATGTGCCCCAGCATATGCCCAGGGCCCCCAGCCTCACGAGGGCCCCGAAAAGACAATATTCTCGTTTACTTGGAAAGGAGAAAAAAGTTGATTTTTTAGTTTATATTACACTGCACTGTATATAACACTGCATATATTCCTTGTTTCCATGTTGTTTTAGTTTTGTATTTTAGTAAAAAGAAAAAATATCATTCAGATTTTGTAACTCTCTAAAAAACCCTAAATTGTTGCGTGCCCAGGGGGCCTCACATGGCCTAACACGGCCCTGTACTTAACTCTATTCCAGCTGTTTAAATTTTTTTTGGCCATGGAACCCTAGTTGATCATAATTTTTTTACAGATCTCCATTTCGATTATAACTAATCTGATTGTGTTATAGTTAGAATATTTTCTTGTTTGACTTGAAAGAATAAATCATAAATGTAAATTATTAATACTAAAAATTTAACTTAACTATTTAATGTGATGAATGAAAAGGCTTAATGTATGGCAACATTTTATTTAACTTTCGGATGGAACTCTGAACTCTCTTGGAACTATGGAACCATAGGCTTCCGTGGACCACTATTTGAGAAGACCTGTTCTATTCTACTCAATTTTATTATATGAAGTTTATATTAAGTATTATTGATTTACTAAACCTTTAATTCATTCAGTATTTAAGTATTATTTTGATGAAAATATGTTAAATTGAAATATCATAAAAAAATACTATGAATCTGAAGCTAACATAGATACTAATACGACTTGTACCAACAATTTCTTTGCAATAATGAGAAAAAGATCTACATCTGTGATGATTAGAGTGTGCTGCCGCTGTAACAGCATTCCGAAATCATTATCAGATAGAGATAGAGCCTGCCAAATACTCCATGTATTTGAATATTTGTTGAAATTTATTAAATTTGGATATTTATTTTAATGAACTCAATATAAAAATAAATTAATTTGTAATTAAATAAAAATTTCATCTACAAATATAGTAATTAACAAAATATATGGACGTAATATCTTGAATGAAAATTATTATTATTAAACTTATGAGTATATAATATGTCTGTGATAATCCCCAGAACTAAGCAGAGTCTGAAAATTGTTTCACTAATAAAATCAATAGCTGCTGCTGCCTGTTGATACAACTAACTTTTCTATGGCCAAATATCCAATTCCTATGAGTCATTACCATATATACATACATACATAACTATACATATAATAAAATTGTAACTAAGCCAAATCGAATCTATAGTTTTTAGAATTCTTGTCTGTCTGTCTGTCTGTGACCGTATCATGGAAAACCACTGGAAGGATTTTGATGAAATTTGGTATGATGGTAGCTGGTTATCCGGGTCAATATATAGGATACTTTTTACTGCCGGAAAATATCTCATCTCTGAGAAATCTATACTAAAGAATAAAATATAAGTAGGGACGAACCCGAGCGGGGCGAGGGTGCGTCGCTAGTTAAACTATAAATTTCTTATTTCTATAAGTAATATGAATAATATTTTCTTTTTCTTCGTTTGTCTATTATGGATATCCACTTTTAACTTGACTATGGCATAGCTATAAAAACGAAGGCTCTATATTTTTAGCGCCATGTTGTTTCATCTGTCACGTGACGTCTATTGTAATTCTTCAGTCTGAGACTACACTATCTCATTATGTCATAGCCAATACAAACAAAAAATATTATTTTCCTTAGAACTATATACATATACGTATTTAAGTATCGGAGGAGGTATGCTTTAAATGAAAATTAATAATTAATGCAAATTACATATTATGTAATTACAATTAGTTTATATGGTAGAATTATTATTTATTTCACTGAAGATGATAGACATTGACTATTTTTATCCGCCGCCGTTTGTATGTGTGTATGTCTGTGTCATCGTCGTGCACAGTGTAATGAATCGATTTAAAGTTTTTTTTTTGATTGATTTTGAAAGTGTTCTTAGGTAGGTAAAAATCAAGAAAATCTGTTCAGTAGTTTGCAGGCCATCAGCTCTTTTCTAGACGGTAAAAGGATATGAACAACTTCCACAGATCTAATCTATTGGAAACTTGATATTCCGTTACTTCAAGTTTCAATGACATTGCGAGGATATGGTGACCTTGGCCTGATGCCGCAGCGTCACCAGAAATCTGCAAGGTACTCGACTCCTCACTAAAATACTGCAGAGATATCGTGTTTAGGGTTTAGGCTCATTGAAATGGCCTCAATTAATAGATTATTGTATTGGAGGTTTTTAAATTTTTTATTTCCAAGTTTTTCACGTGTCAGTACAGAGCAAAAAAATACTCGAATCCGACTCGCGCTTGAAAGATTTTCTAAATTCTTCTGTTCACAATTATTTTTATAATAATTAAGATTCTTTCTAGCAAGTGAATAATATCAAATTAATGTTATATATGTATTATATATTTTTATTTATTTAGGTTCAGTAGAGCGAGACATGCGTATTGTGTTACGAATCAGCCAGGCATAGTGTAAAATGATATTACGTGTTCTGTATATGTTTGTATATAGAAAATTTTTACTCGCTTTTTTCCTTTTTTATGTAACACTAGAGACTTGCTCTCGCTTCGCTCAGGTACGGGATTTTTTCACAATTTCTTTAGTTATAATTTTTTTGTTCGATACTCTGATTCTTTTTTCTAAAATAAAAGTAGCCTAAATTACTCCTTATAACATCGGTTTAGCTATACAGAAGGACTCAATAACTAAACTTTGTCCCGACCCGGAACTCGAACCCAGGACCTCCGGGTGTACAGCCGTACATGTTTACATTTGTTTTGTTTATATATCAATAGCACAAACTCTTAATTTTTCCAGTAGCTATTAAAGCGTTTCACTATCCACTATGAAGTGGCTTCATCATCAGATCAAATCGATCAAATTATTGTTAAAGTTTCAAATCAATAAGACAATTAGAAGTCGATTATTTACGACTCTGAAGATTAGTTAGATTAAAAATAGACTTTTGTTCTGTAGTTACTAGCTATCGCCTAGTATGGTTGCTTACGCATGTGTGTTTTTCATTGACTGTATTGTTGTGTGTGCATGTGAGTGTGCGCGCGCGCGCGCAAGTCATATACCCGCATAGTGTTACAAAAATCTTTTTTTTTCTATCGTGACAAAAAAAAACATATTTTTTTTCACCATAGTGAAAAAAATATCGTTTTTCTTTCATGTTAGATTACTATTCCCGCTTGATTTGTATTGTATTTTTATGATAAAAAAATACCGCAACAATTTCGCTACCAAGAATACACAAGATCATTGATAAAATGCCGTCTTTATACTTATCGGATTTACAGCTTTTGTTGGCTTATGTAGATTTCTTATCTGTGTACGTCCGGAAGTACTGAGATGATTTATGTGCTGTGTGATGATAATGTGCGTTCACCTTGTGTGGTTGGGGGGCTCATTAGCGTCCGGTTGGGCGCGAAGCCAAGAAACGCACTGGGTGGCGGCCCACCTCGATGTGTGGTTTCCATGCGGGTTGCTCCTGGTACTTCTCTGATTGCAGAGTGGACTGTTGGAGCAACCTGGTTGGTGTTGATGTGGTCTGCTTCGGCAGACTTGCTGTCAGGGCGTCGTGGTTGAGTGCGTGAATGATCGTGCGACGCCTCATTAGACGGGAGAAGTTCCGTTGGGTCTTAGTGGATAGTTCTGGCTTTGCCGGTGAGCCCCTCATAACATCCTGTATGTATGCAGGTGGTATGCCTAAATGCATTTCCCAACGTTAAAAAAAGGGGCCGAGCCTTTTTGGGTTGTAGTCCAAGGCCTCTAAGATATAACGGGACAAACATAATATCCAGAACCAAACAGCAGCTTTATCTGAATTTCAACTTGATACCTCCACGCGTTCCTGAAAAAAAAGGTTCTTGACAGACAGACAGACAACAAAGTGATCCTATAAGGATTTCTTTTTCGTTTCGAGGTATGGACACCGAAAAAAGGCGACGAATTTCAAATAAAAATAAAATAAGGTTAATTTTATGCCTCAAAGCATATAGTTGAAAATATATCATACATACCATAAAAACTAGAACATAATAGCTTGACCAAAGTAATCTATACATATAATATAATTGTAACTAAGTCGAATCTGTACATTAGATATTTTTTGCAAAATCTTATTGAAATAGACATTATTATCGATACAGAGTCCGAATCTATAGTTTTTAGAATTTTTGTCTGTCTGTCTGTCTGTCTGTTACCGAATCACGAGAAAACCACTGGACAGATTTTGATGAAATTCGGTATGATGATAGCTGGTTATCCGGGTCAACATATAGGATACTTTTTACTGCAGGAAAATATCTCATTTCTGAGAAAAAATACAAAAACTGCAATGTAAGAGTATAGTAATATGTAAAACCTAAGAATTTGGTTTTTGGTCATCTGAACGCGGGCGGAGCCGCGGGCAATGCTAATTTTCTTTAAATATAATAAGGACTATGGACTTATTTCAGAACTCAGAAGTTCAATTATATATTTTTTTTTATTATTTCACCCCTTATTTTTAAAGTCGGATATGACGAAATTATAAAGAATTTTGCTTCCCTGCATGGAGAATCCCTAAAATCTCACTCAAAGTAAAACATTTTTGTTCGCTAGTTTTCTATAAGCTTATTTCCGAAGCCTTAGTATGAATGTATAAACGATCATATCATATTACAATTTATATAATATATTATATATCTACATAATATGTATATGTAATCAACCTTGACGGACCGGTTTCACCTGTTGACCGACTGCCATAGTTGCCATATATGTACATACATACATACTATGTATCTGATTAGTTATAAATCATCGATACAGTGTATTACATGATGGATGGCCCCTGGCAGAGGGGTCGAGGGCCTCAACACAGGGGCCAACTGTCAGTTTAGGGGACCCTGGGCTAACACTTCGTGAAGATCTAAAATGGCAGTTTAAGTAGACGGAATGGAATTATGTGTCATTATGTCTCTTTATATGTATATAATAAATCTATACTAATATTATAAAGAGGTAAAGTTTGTGAGTTTGTGACGTTGTAGGGGGTACTCTCTGGATCTACTGAGCCGATTTAGATGAAACTTGGTAAGAAGATAGTTTGAGACCCTGGGAAGGACATAGGATACTTTTTATACCGTAAATCAACACTAAAAGGGGTGAAAATGGGGATGATGATCTTTATATATGTATATAAAAAATCTATAATGGTTGATAATACCAGACGAAATTAATATCAATATATGCAATCCCTTGGAGCAATAAAAAAATAAAACTTCATAGTCAACGCAAGTAAAAGATACGGGCGTTTATGCCGCATGTTTCCGCATGTTTTGATACTCGCAGAGAGTCAAAACGTATAGGTAAGTTACTTTCTCTTGGCGTAGAATTTTGAAATTGAAAAAAATATCGAGAGCATACAACCGTGTCTTCTTCTCCCTGCCCATTTCCCAATCACTCGGGGTCGGCGCAGTACATCTTCTGTACTGCTGATAGGATTTGGCAAAAGTTTTACGACCGGCCGCCTCACGCCTGCCTGACGTCAACCCTCCTAGGGAATGCTATTGTCTCTCTTTGTCTGAATGGTGTCGCGGAAGTCTTGTAACTTTCAATTTTGTTGTCTTTTAAAACATTTTTTATACTATTACATAAACTTTCTATGTTAGTTTCGGATATATTTTAAAATAAATTTTAATTACACCGAGCATACAACTGTGTATGGGGTAAAAAAAATCGGGCTTCCCCCTTAAATTCTGGAATGAGGCCACAGTCCACCACACCACATGCTGGCAAATTGCCAATGGCGGACTTCACATGTCTCGAAGGCCCTATTCTTAAAGTTTTTATGATTTCAAATGATTTATTTCATAACTTATTTTCCAGGTGTGGGTAAAACGAGTCTGGTGGTACGGTACATCGGCAAAATGTTCTCGAAACACATATCCCCTACCATCGGTGCGTCTTTCTTTACCTGCAACATTAATTTAGACGACGCGAGAATTAAATTACAGGTAAGTTGTTTTAAATAAAACATATCTTTTCGGATTTTTTCGCGGATTTATTTTGATTTTTGGCTCCCGACGTTTTGAATGCTTTACAGCAATCATGGTCACGGGGGAGACTAAAATTTTAGCCGTCTCAAAGGCGTAATGTAGTTGTTACAGACAGACTAGCCTTGTTATTGATATAATCCGAACACTTATAATATATTTTTTTTAATACTAGCATTGCCCGCGGCTCCGCCCGCGTTCAGATGACCAAAAACCAAAATTCTTAGGTTTTACATATTAGTATACTCTTATATTGCAGTTTTTGTATTTTTTCTCAGAAATGTAATAAGCGGTAAAAAGTATCCTATATGTTGACCCGGATAACCAGCTATCACCATACCAAATTTCATCAAAATCCCTCCAGTAGTTTTTCTGTGATGCGGTAACAGACAGACAGACCAAAACTCTAAAAACTAGATTCGGCCTCGGTATCGATAATAATGTCTATTTCAATAAGATTTTCCAAAAAATATTTAATGTACATACAGATTCGGCTTAGTTACAATTTTATTATATGTATATATGTCAAATATTCGCTTAAATATAAGAAAGTATTATAGGTAAGTTAATTATTCTTTACAAGTAGTAACTAGAGACTCGTCTGTCTTAGAAACCTTTTTGCTATTTCTTCCGACATGAGCTCAAACTGTTGGTGCTAAATCTAGGTCAGGTTACATTACCATAAAAAAGTCCTTTAAAACAGGTATAATAATAGATGGGTAGATAACGAAATTAAATAAATTAATGTTTTGCACGCTGACGTGAAAGTGGATTGGGCATGTCTCCAGGCATATACGATGGATGGATCCTAATTTTTAGGTTTTAGGTTTTGAGTTTGTATATATAAGTACTCATATAATAATATGTAAAAAAATACATACAAAATTATAATGCTTAATTAAAAACTATATATATATATATAATACTAGCATTGCCCGCGGCTCCGCCCGCGTTCAAATGACCAAAAACCAAATTCTTAGGTTTTACATATTAGTATACTCTTACATTGCAGTTTTTGTATTTTTTTTCTCAGAAATGAGACATTTCCCGCGGTAAAAAGTATCCTATATATTGACCCGGATAACCAGCTATCACCATACCAAATTTAATCAAAATCCCTCCAGTGGTTTTTCTGTGGTATATGCGGTAACAGACAGACAGACAAAAATTCTAAAAAGTATAGATTCGGCCACTGTATCGATAATAATGTCTATTTCAATAAGATTTTCCAAAAAATATTTAATGTACAGATTCGGCTTCGTTACAATTTTATTATATGTATAGATTAAGTATCTACTGGCATCTTACCCTATCGTGGCATCGCCCCAGGTGTCTCTTTGCCATGCATTGCTTTATTTCAAACCGTTTAGTTAGCACATGCCGATATAACGACCCAACAGCCATTAATATGATTATGATTTCTGACAGCAAACACATTTTTATCGTTGTAAAAAATTCTCTATAGCACTCGGCGGTAATGTAGCTTTCTGTTAGTGAAAGAATTTTTAGGATTTTTTTTTATTTATTTTTTTTATTTTATCAGTAGTTTGATCAGATTTGATCAGTAGTTTTAGAGATTTATAATATTAGTGTAGATAAAATATGAGCACTTCGGAATGCACCCGAGTGAGTGAGTTTAAGGCGCTCTTTTCCAGAATCGCCGCTCCCTAGGCGCCAGCGCGCGACGACCCGTTTCATTTTATCTGTTTTTCGCCTATTGCCATAAATATAAGTTAATAAATGAAAATCTGTTTCTCCGAATACCTAAATAATGACAAGCTAAATCTATGAGTATAACTCTCATATCATTTATAATAGTGTATTTTGTGTGTATCAGAGATTTTAAGGTATTTTTAGACCTATCTTTGAATTTTTCTTTCTATCGAGTGAACTATTGTCAATCGTGTTTTGGCCTCTCCGGGTACTTAGCTATTATCCTTAACTATAAGATGTATGAATTTTAGAACTATATGTATTATATTCGTGGTTTTATAATGGTTCAAAATATCCTAAATTCTGGAAAAGAGCGCCTTAAGTCAGTAATATATCTATAATAAATAGTAACAAAGCGAAATCTGTATATGGAATATTTTTTTGAAACAATGACTCTGTATGTCTGTTTCTCTGAATATCTGTGTGCGTTTCACCCAACAAGTACTGAACCGATTTTAACTAAATTTTGTGTAGTGATAACTTATTACTCGGGTCAACATTTAGGTTACCTTTTACTACGGAAAAATCTTTCATTCCCACGGGAAAGCACAATAACTGATTCTATCGAGTCGTCTTTAGATATTTACATGGCTAACGCTGGCTGAATCTAAAAATACTGTATACATCAAAACAATGTACTAGAAAATTGTAGGTCTTAAAAAGTCTACAGAAAAGTCCGCAATAGTATATGTCTATCTCCTGAGGTACACTCGCAATATCTATTATTATCTATATATTATATATATATATATATATATATATATATATATATATATATGTTTATATTGTCTATAAATAACATACCTAGGGACGCACCCGATTGAAGCGACGGTAATTCGCTAGTAAATTGTAAAACTTGCTTATTACGAGAACATTAGCAAGTTAAATAAGGTGAATCATGTAACTGAACGCGATGGCCTCGATCGGAGGCTTCAAATCTATTTGATGACGAGTTGACCAGACGTGCCATGCTGACGATGCCATGTCTATTCTAAAATGGACCCAGTTATGCAAAAAACAGCCATGTGCGTAAAAGTACCAACAGAGTTATAAGCATTTTATTATAAAAAATAAAATAATTATAAAAACAAAACATAACCCAAGTGCAACTATCGACAGAAAAATGCTTATAACTCTGTTGGTACTTTTACGCACATGGCTGTTTTTTTTGCATAACTGGGTCCAATTACAATAAAGTTTGTAATCCTACAAAAATCCTATGGACAAGTATTTTCAAAAGACACTATCACTTTTTCTTTTATTTTATTTTATATTTTCGAGCAATTTCGACAATTTATATCCATGAAAAAGACTGAACCCCTATACCAAACTTTAAAACGTAAATAGGGACGAACCCGAGCTGAGCGAGGGTGAGTCGCTATTTTAAAAATAATATTCTAATCGGTCCAGCCGTTTTATATAGATTAAATTAAATCGCTTATCACCGAGCAGGATTTTGTCTTATTCTTTAGATTTCCATACAAGTCATGAGAACTAATATCCGACTAAAACCAGACTGCATAAAAAAGCTAAAAAGATAAAAACAAGTCCGAAAAAAATTAATATTATCCAATCGGAAGCTCCGTCAGATAAGCTCGATGGTATCATATTATTGTAATCTCATTCAGATTTTACATTTAAAAAAAACAAATCGCTTTGGCAGCTAGTGTTACTATTACAAGTAATTTATTAAAATTAAAGATTTTTTTGTTTATCGCTTTGTTTGTACTGAATAAGCTCCGAAACTACTGAATCGATTTAAATGAAATTTGGTAAGTAGATAATTCGAGATCCTGTGAAGGACATAGGGTAGTTTTTATCCCAGAAATCATCTCATATGAGGGAAGCAACCTAAGGACGAACCAGAGCAAAGCGAGAGTGAGTCGCTACTGTTGAATACATATATGCAGACGACTTGTTTATGAACGTCATGTGCTATCGTCATGCCCTAAGCTATCCATTGAGATGAGCTGTTACAGCATCTTAAAGAGGTAACAAACACTCTCGGACTTTCGTGATTTGTATGTTTTAAGGTATGGGACACGGCAGGCCAGGAACGTTTCAGATCGATGGCACCCATGTACTACAGAAACGCGAACGCCGCCTTACTGGTGTTCGACATAACCAGCGCGAACAGCTTTGCGTCCATCAAGAGTTGGGTGAAAGAGTTACAGAGGTATGTACAGACATATACATATGTAGTATATATAATTTAATAATATCATAATATCTTGACTTATCCGATTTCCTGTGCACTCTCTATTCCTGTCACTCTCATACTCCGGTGGGACGACACGAGACACGACCGGTGAGAGTTCAGGCGCAGGACCGACGCGACACGCGTTCTCTGAGGCACGTAGATAACAGAAACTTCCTCGATGGTCTAGTGGCTAACATATATCGCTGCGAATCTGGAGGTCCTGGGCTCAAGGCCCGGGTTGGGACAAGTTTAGTTATTGAGTATTTTAGTTTAGAAGTAGTATCTTCTATTCATTCGTACCAATTACATCATGTCCCATTACTTGGAAAAAAATTATTATGGCGATATTGCTGATACCAGCCATGCCAGATCCATAGAAAAATATTCAAATCAAAACCAAAATACCCGAAAAATGTTTAAGAGTGATTTTTTTACGATGCGACAGATTTAGACTACAGCATGAAGTTAGTCGTAATTGGCTACTGTGTGAAGTTGGTCGTTAAATCTTCCTTTATTATAGTGACGTCTATATTCAAGATATTTGAGGCCACGTTTGGCTCAGTTTGTAGTAACCCTACTGGCTGCGCCAGCGGTCGCGGGTTCGAGTCCCGCTGGGGGCATTCATTTGTGTGATGAGCACAATTTTTGTACTCCTATCTGGTATCCATAACACAAGCCTCGTAGCTTATCATGGAACCAGATGGTGCTGTGTGTTGATGTACCAACATATTTATGTATTTTATTTATTTGTTTTCCATCTAAATATATCTCAAACATTCATTTCCAGTAATGTACCAGAAGCAATGATACTATCGCTGGTGGGTAACAAGTCGGACCTAGAGTCCCACCGCGCGGTGACTGCCTCTGAGGCTTCGCAGTACGCCGCGTCAATAGGCGCTGCCTACTGCGAGACTTCAGCCTTGCACGATCAGGTAGCTATCCCATAGCTATGCCACAGTCTATTAATCCATACAGTCGTCTAAAGGTTCATCGATTTATTACGTGAGCTGTTTTTCTCATAATTTGGACACCACAGACAGACGGAATGTGTGAATTCAACTGTATATTTTTTTGTGTCTACCGGTTTGTTTTTTATTATATATTTAAAAAATAATTTTAATACTGTTTAAAACTGTTTTTTAGGATTTTTCGTGTTTTTTTTTCCGACACTTTAAATGCTTTACGGTGTTCATAATCATGGAAAAAACCTAAAAAGCATTCGCACATGGTCACGTGAGACGCTAAGGTTTTAGAGGTCTCAAAGGCGTTGTATAATTGTTACAGACAGCTACCCATAAACCACTATTGCTGTATAAAGTATTCGAAACGTCGGGAACCAAAAATCAAAATGAATCCGCGAAAAGATCCGAAAAGATAGTTTTGTTTGGAATAATCATTTGAATTTGTTCAGGGCATCGACCAGGTATTCCTGAACACAGCAACGGAACTTCTCAAGCTGTCCTCTTCAAGCCTCGTGTCCTCAATGCGCTCTTACGACTCGAACGACGACGACAGACTGCCCATGGGTAAATATTTATTGTTTACTGGCCACGTTCCTAGTAGGGTTTATCAAGGTTCGATATTCTCAAAGTCCCGGGACACGAGACTGTCCACGATTAAAGTTCTGAGGCGTCCCGGGACTTCAACACACCTATACATATAATAAAATTGTAACTGTAAGATGAGATATTTTCCCGCGGTATAAAGTATCCTATATATTGACCCGGATGACCAGCTATTATCATACCAAATTCCATCAAAATCTGTCCAGTGGTTTTCTCGTGATGCGGTCACAGACAGACAGACAGCAATTCCAAAAACTCAAATAAATTCGGCCTCTGTATCGATAATAATGTCTATTTCAATAAGATTTTCCAAAAAATATCTAATGTACAGATTCGGCTTAGTTACAATTTTATTATATGTATAGATGTCAAATATTCACGTAAACTCGGAATTGACACGATTTCTTTACGACATCTTGACTTGTTTTATAAAACATGTATATCTCCCAACCGTAACTTCTACAACATTAATATTAGGTATCGAAATTTTTCTAGGTATGCCTTCCGAAGAAAAGGCGACACATACCGGCAAGATAGAACTGCCCGCGTGGGACAATGACGTGAAGCACGGCGAGCCGCAGAGGAGTTTGTGCTGCTAGCACTTGGACATCGGACCGGACACTTAGACAGGAGTTTTGTCTAAGTCTGGACTTATGCCCGACTTCACCAACAACCCATAAGCTACCACTTACGTATGGGATCTCTAGCTTAAAAGTTCCCCTAAATTTAGGGGGCCTTTTAATATTTAGGTGACCCCTAACTGTCGGTGAAACAGAAACTGTCCCCTAACAGCCCCCTAATCATGCTTAGGGGATCCCTTAAACTTAGGTGACGTTGGTGAAATCGGCCATCAGACTTTGTTGACTAAGTATTCATTTAGATTTTATTGATATAGTTTCGGATTTTTTTTCTTGACTTAGTTTAGATTTAATTTATAGGTATTTAAAATTATCTATCGAGTGATAGTAAAGGTTTATTAGTTTATATTAAAAATTTAATAATTATAGTTTGAAAATTGATAAAAAAGTTATGTACACACTGTCGTATATAGGACTCGTCAACACAAATCAAATGAGCACAAACTTAAGGGTTTTACTAGTAGCTATTGAAGAGTTCCACCAGCTGGCTTCATCGTAAGATCAGATCGATGTTATGAAATTATTGTATTGTTATCTGGAAAAAGGCAGTGGTATCCCGGTGTTAACGCGCTCGCTCGGGAAATTGAGTGAAGCGGGTTCAAATCCCGGGTCTCGCATCTCTGATATTTTCATGTGCGAATCATTTCCAACATGATCACCACTTGTCTTACGGTGAAGGAGAACATCGTGAGGAAACTTGCATGTCTGAGAGAACCTAGCAAGTTCGAAAGACATGTGTAGTCCGCCCCGCACTTGGCCAGCGTGGTGGGCTATGGCCTGATCCCCCTCGTATTGAAAGAAGGCCCATTCCCAGCTGTGGGACGTTAAAAAGGGCTAAATACATTCTGATTTTACAGGGAAATTTCAAATCTGCACTATAATAATTGGCAATAGACTAAAACCGATTTCCAACATTCGATTGCATATGTAGTTCTAAATTAAGCTTAAGATTTAAGTATTAATAAAAAAATCTACCAAAATAATGCCTTCGCACTAACAATGATTATATTTATTATAATAATTAATTCACACGTTTGGTTGGGGGTTTTTTTTTTCAACCTTTGACAGCAAAAATGCTTATAGTTTATATCTTACAAGGGGACCTTAAAGTCTCGGAAATTCAGATCGTATTTAGAAATAAAGTATTACCTTTAATTCAGATTTCAATAGGGTTTTGGACTGTAGTAATAAAATGATGTGATGTTTTGTACAGCGGTAGTTTATGGGCTTAGAATTCATTATTAAAAGGTATAATTAAATAATAATCATGATTTTTCATTATTTTTAACATATTAATAATTTTTAACTCCTTCTAAGCGGTAATAGTCCAACAATTAGCAAAAGAAAGCGCGTGACCGGTGGAGGTGGAGGGGTGGGAAGTGGCCCTTACTCATTTAAACTAAGGCCGGATGCTAGAACTTTACACCGTTTAGAAAGTGCAAAAAAAAATATTTTATTTTTGTATGAAAATAAAAATTTAAGATATATTATTTTTTCTTGTTACAGATGTTTGTTGTTATGATGTAGCTAAGTTAAAATTCCACAATGTATATTGAATGTTGTCAAACTCATTTCTTTTATTTTACTCTAACTGAAGTGTCATTACAACAAGTTAAAAAGCTATTGCCAGCCAAGTGTAAACTCGATACTAAATTAACATAATATTTTTTTTTATATCCATACAATAGACAAACTACTAAACAGTAGTGTATCAGCTATCTGGTATCCATAACACAAGCCTCGTAGCTCACCATGGAACTTGATGGTGCTGTGTGTTAATGTACCGACATATTAATTTATTTATTACTGTGTAGTCACCCTTGAGGTATACTACTAATCTGCCGAGTCTCATAACGATCTGAATTTCCGAGACCGTAAGGGGTCGTTAGAGAACGATATGAAAATTTTATTCATTAGTATAACAGTATGTAAAGCTATGGAAGTATGTGTCATGGCGAATCGAAATTATGCGAGATTGTTAGTTTATATTTTATTATAAATAATCTATTAATATGTAAAATAAAGCTTGAATTAACAAGGCAATTAATTGAATATTCAATTTTTTTTAAGTTAATCGTTATTTTTTATTTGATTAATTTCTTGCCTTTTACGAAAATTAAAAAAAAAACACTCATTGTTAAACAATCTAGTGCCTATTTATTATAAGTTTTTATTTAAGTTGCAACATTTGTTAGGTAAATGCTACAGATTAAAAATGCAAATGCTCTATGTAATGATCTTGCCAGATGGAAATATTAGTTTATTTTTCTATTTAAATAATAAATATACATACCTAATTGAGTCTCTGAAATTAAAGTATTTTTAAAATATACATATATATATGTATTGAAATATTACATGTTTATAAAATAAAATGGCGTAGTAGCAAAAGTGACAACGCTAAATAAATAAAAACGTGTGTGTGTGTACTGTATGTACGCACATAAGAAGTTATACATGTTTGGCGTAACAGAACAAAAATAGCTAAAGATTTCATCCCGTATGTCACAACTCTCTGTTTGTAAAAGGAATGCAGCTAACTTCATCATGTCGCTTTTTGGCTGTCGGTGTGCGCGCGCTACTCTCATAATTTTTTCCAAACATCAAAATTCTCCAAACATCGAAGATACTCTGGCGGTCCGGCGGATACCGCGATTACATTCAAACACATCAAAATAGACATATAATAATTATAATAAAAATATATTATATTTGTTTTTAAATTATGAAAAATAAACGTGACTCTCACTTCTTTATTTAAAAAAACTTTTTAGTTCAAAACAAAAATATTATCTGTTATCAACGAGTGACACATAAAAGAAAATATGCCATATATATATATGGTTAGTATATTTTCTCTTTTGGTTTTTATGTTACTTGCCAAAATATAAATTAGTTTTTATTTTAATAATAGATATATTGTAAACTGTATATAAAATGTTCGATGTATCGAATTTATTTGCTGTAAGGTTTTATAAGTTTTTACACGTCTTCACTATGTGATATTAACAGAATAAACGTATTTTTTAATATTTTTGTGTGTGTTTTTTTTAATTTCATACTGTTGGAATAGTAAACATAAAATATTTAATTGTAATTTTATATATGAATAGTTCCAACCTCTTTGTTAATTTGTGTTCCTACTATTTATTTTTCTATTAAAATTTGTCATGTTCCATGTCACTGTAAAAAGCGCTATCGAAGCCGCGGGTTCTGCTAGTATATATGTATATGATATAGATGTAATAATAATTGTACAAGTCTGTTACATTAAAATAAATAAATAAAAAAACATTGGAAAATATTTAATACAATCCATTAAGTTCTCGCCACAACCACCAAATCTCCAAAAGTACATATAATTCTTTCTTAAATAAATAAGTAAAAATATTTTAATATTTAAAAGGGTATCGAACGTCTTTCTATGAAAACTGACAATAGCTTATAAATATAAACAATATAGTTTAAACAGTTCCGTCATTACCATAAGGGCACAGGGGGCACATGCCCAGGGCCCCCAGCCCTACGAGGGCCCCAAAAATAATTCGTTACAAAAGTCGTTTACATGGAAAAGAAAGAAGCTCAATTTTTGTTTATAATACGATACACTTAATAATATTATATTCCTTTTTGAGTTTTTCTAATTTTTTAGTTGAATTCTTATATTTTTGTAGTTTTTTTGTTTATGAAATTGCCTCAAATTATTGTGTGCCCGGGGGCCCCCGCATGGCGTATAACAGCCTTGAGTGTTCATTGTCATGTTTCTGAGATATTTGAATATGTGTGTGTAGACGAGCTATAAAATATTCCCCTATCTATACATACTAGATACATAGTGCATCGCAAAATGGATAAAAGTAAAAATGGCGGCGGTTGACACAAAAGATCTATCCCCTTTATAATGCAATGTTACAAGATGACAAAATATCTGTGTGTAATGTCAAAACAACAGCTTTTTACTAAATGCATATGTAATTATATACGGTAATTATAAGAAAAACATAACTTTCAAAATTTTTGTCTGTTTGTCTGTTCCGGCTAATCTCTAAAACGGCTGGTTCAATTTTGACGGGACTTTCACTGGCCAGATAGCTAATGTTATAAGGAGTAACTTAGGTTACTTTTATTTTGCAAAAAGAATTAGGATTCCGCTCGAAAAAATTAAAACTCATGAAATTGTGAACAAAATCCGCGTACCTAGGGAAGCCAGGGTACGTTACTGGTATTTATATAGAATAAACATAAATATTGGACAATTTAGAATATTTATTTATTTAACAAATACAGTTTTTTCCACATGATATTTGACAAATTGTATATGAAGACTATTACGGTATATATTATAAGTTATAACAATTGAGCAACTAAAATAAAAATCACTTTTTAATTCTCACTCATTAAACTCGGCCATTTCCAAACTTCTAAATATCAACAATGTAAGTTATATTAAAAATAAAACTATTTATTACAAATATTTTTACAGAGCAGAATACGACAAACTGTCTTAGAAATTTAGACATTATTTATGTGACAACCATCGATGAAAAAAGTATTAGATACACAATCCCATGCAAAAGTTCTCTTAAAACTGTCTCCGATTGTGTTTAGGTAATTATTATAGTTGAAATAAATATACAACACATAGATATTTCCGAAAAAAAAAACATTAAAAGTGCGCTCAAATGTTCAAACGAGCGCTCATTCGGTGAGGACGTTTTTTGTCGCTGATTGTGTATCTGGTACTTCTTTGATCGATGGTAACAACCTACTATATCTATATAGAGCACCAAAGGACATTTCTCATATAAATATATTATATTATCAGGTATGAAAGCTAGCTGGGAATGTCTCATTTATATATATATATATATATATATATATATATATATATATACATATATATATATATATACATATATATATATATATATACATATATATATGATCAGACAGTGTACTTTCAATATTTGTAAAGAAAGGATAAAATTGTATTACATACTGATTTTAGTCGTTAGGAGGTGGTATCCTACCGAGTATTTAAAAGTTTTATTTGAGAATTAATTATTGTTAATATAAAATCTTAATATATATAATATTGCACTGGTATTATTTAAACAAAAAAAAGACCATATTTACAGTCTAATCTATGAATTTATTACAGTGATGTCTGAACCTTTAAGTACTATAAACCCTGAAGAGGATGGGTTCATTATGATTGTTTATATGAACCCTTATTTCCCTTTATCCTATTAATATTATAAATGCAAAAGTTTGAATGCATGAATGTTTGTTACTCAATCTGATCTGGATGAAACTTGGCACAGATATAGATTATAGTCTGGAATAACACATAGGCTACTTTATATCCCGGAAAAATATACGGTTCCCGTGGGATAGATTTATTTTTGTTTTTCACTAGGGACGAACCCAAACAAAGCGAGGTTGAGATGCTAGTATTAATATAATTAAACAACCTGTACCATTTGCTGTTACAAAGTGCCTTTAAAAAATTGTTGAATAATTTTATTATTTTACACAACAGCTGTCTCTTTAATTTGTTAATAAAATTGTATACTATAAACTACTTTCCCTTGGAAATTAAAAACTCAACCATACAAACACAAAAAATTGGGTCACATCATACAAATTGAAAAACCTCGGCAAGATCAACCTATGTAAATTCAATATTCAATACAAAATGGAACAACTCCGTACACTCCTAACCTACTCATATAAACTACAGCTCGTCCTTCTCCTCGGGCTTACTTTCAGCCTCCTCAGCCTGGATATCCTCTTCATCATCATCATAGCCGTCCGAGTCCTGAACTTCTGGCATAATTTGATCTTGGAAACCACCTCCAAAGCCGTATGGATCGGGACCATGTACCTGTAAAAGGTGAATTATTTATATTTCAACTAGCAGACTCAGCCACGCGTTGCTGTGGCACACTTATAGCTTATTACAATATATATTTATGACAAACTAGCGACTCACCCTCGCTCCACTAGGGTTCGTCCCTAGTTACGTTTTAACGTTTAAAATAGATTTCTTAGAGATGAGATATTTTCCCGCGGTAAAAAATATCCTATATGTTGACCCGGATAAACAGCTATCATCATACCAAATTTCATCAAAATCTGTCCAGTGGTTTTCTCGTGATGCGCTCACAGTAGACAAAAATTCTAAAACCTATAGATCCGATATCGATTATAATGACTATTTCAATAATATTTTCCAAAAAATATTTAATGTACAGATCCGACTCAGAATTTTATTTTATATATAGATTATGTTTGTATGTGAAATAAATAAAATGTAAAATTAATTGGTTTGAGGATTCAGGTTCAGATATGAAAATCTTAAATTTCGCAATAATAAAAAGAGAAATAATCAGGATAGAAACTATCCTTTCTTTTAAGTTGGGACAAATCACATATAAAAAAGAATATGTTAAGATCGGATAAGTAGTTTCGGAGTTTTTTGCGGACCAACATCGTGACACGGGAAATTTATATATTAAAAGAACAGCTTTTTACTAAATGCATATGAAATTATATACGGTACTTATAAGGAAAAAAGAACGATTATATCGGCACCTAGATACGAAAACGAGCGAAGCAAATCTAAGCCGTCTATAGTAATATTATAATATTATTAGATATACCATAAAAGGTAACATTTGTAAGTTTGCGAGGTTGTAGGAGATAATCTCTGGATCTGCTGAACCGATTTAGATGAAATTTGGTAAGGAGATAGTTTGAGACCCTGGGAAGGAGATAGGATACTTTTTATTCCAGAACTCATCCCTCAAGGGGGTGAAAATGGGAATAAAAGTTTGTATGGGGAATCAATTAATCTATCAATAAAATATAACTACCTTCACATATTCAGCCTCCATCTCGGGCGTCCACGTGGTGTCCTCTGATGTTGGCAACATCCACTCCTCGCAGTAGTTGGCGTGCTTGAAGCAGATCTGGAGGATGGAAATAAATATTAAATATTCATTTTCAACATATCTGTCAGTGTACTCATTTTGTCGCAATCATTTAGAGAATTTCTTCTGGAAAATATTATAAATGCGAAAGTTTGGATGGACGTTTGTTACTCAATCACACCAGAACGGCTGAACGGATCTGGATGAAATTTTGCTATTTCCCAAAAAAAAAATATGGCTCGAGCACCTCCTGTGTATTATTTCCAAAAGAGAATGGCCTTAGCATATCCGATTATTGTTTCTAACAAAATGGCATATTGATTTAATGTACATATATAGATATAAACAGCAACTCACCTCGCGCTCAGCATCGGGCATGACGTCATCCTCGGGCCGGTGCTTGTACAGATCCGTGATCTCATCCTCGTTCTCTTCGAACATGCGCTCGCACTGGAAAAGGATTAACAATTGATAATAAATATTTGTTTGTTCATTCGTTTGTTTGTTCGCGCTGGTTATGTAGTGAAATAAAATAATAATATTCTCTCAATCGATGTCGACTACGGTGGCCAATCTTACAGAGACTAGCCAGCGCAGGAGATATTGCATGGTACAGTGCAGACACAACGTGCACTCTCTGTCCCTGTCACTCTCATACTGCGGCGGGACGACACGAGACAACCGGTGTGAGTTAAGGCGCAGGCATGGTGGTAAAACACCACCAAAGAATATCTGAACAGAAAAACTACTCAAACTTGGCGACCCGGGACTCGTACCCAGGATCGACCTCCGGATCTTCGGCAGTACATGCTAGCCACTAGACCACAGAGGCAGTTAGAAGGAAAATATATATTAGGTTTGTCACTGATTAGGTAATCATTACTATATTTTATTATCTGTGAATGATGGCTGTTCAAATTTCATGTATAAATTATTTTAATTTATAAAAAATATTTAATAATAATAATAATATTTATAATTGAATATCATCTCATAACATGGTTTCTGGACAATTATAAATAATTTTGGTTATGGAAGGTACCCGTCATAATAAATATCTATACTAATATTATAAAGAGGCAAAGTTTATTTGTTTGTTTGTTCGAACGCGCTAATCTCAGGAACTACTAATCCGATTTGAAAAATTCATTTTGCATTAGACAGCCCGTTTATTGAGGAAGGCTATAGGCTATATATCATCATGCTACTACAAAAGGGAACGGAGCAGTAATCATAAATGTCAACTAATCTGATAGACTTCCATACATTATTGTAAAACTGATGTTTATAATCAAACAAATTTAACGCGTGTGAAACCGCGGGACATAGCTCAAACACACAAAAAAGGCCAAAGTACATAATAGTACAGTGCTTTGTTGTTTATACTTATTCTCAATTTTGAAATACAGATCTTTTATTTTCTTTACACTCATAAAATATTATTAAATGAAAAAAATTAGGTATAAGTCGTTAATTTACAATTTTTGAGAAGGAAATATGAACAAAAAGTATAATACTAGGTATACTCTTTTGTAGTTTTTGATCATTAATTCTCTTCCCTTTAAAAGACAGATAGCATATTATTCGCTTATATTTTAATTATAATGAAATCTGTTAGCTATTACTATTTATTAACATTTATTTAACATTTTTTATTTACAGATGGTTGCTTTTATAATATTTTAAAACATTATTGTTTGGCTTCATGTCCAGTTCTATGACTGTATGTCTGTCTGTCTGCTTTGTCTATATTATTACTTAGTCCGAGAGATATTCATATACAAGAAAATTAAAAATAATAATATTATGCATTTAGTGATATCGTTTACAAAATCATCTTTTTCAACTCACTTTTTCCACTGTAAAAGACCAATAAAAACAAACTCACATAATACTCCAAGCTCTTGTTCAGATCGTCATCAGTGACAAACTTTGTCTTAGAGAAGTCAGGGTTCATCCCACCACCTGGTTGAAGCAGCTGCATGATGGCCAGCTTGCCCGTCGACTTGTAGTATACGCGCACGTAGTCATCCATTTTCTTGCCTGATAATAATTAATATATATAAAAATCAATTGCTGTTCGTTAGTCTCGCTAAAACTTAAAAACGGCTGAACCGATTTGAATAATTCTTTTTTTTTTGTTTTGTTGGAGGTATATCAGAGATGGTTTAAAAAAACCCATAAGAACAGCTGGAAAATCTAAAAGTTCAAAACTGGTTATTTTGTATGGGAATCACTACTTCGGATTACTTTCAATAGTGGTGGACCTACCATCTACAACAATATGTCAAGTTTAAGTTAGAAAAAAAAATATGTATATAACAGTATATAGTCTATCCATTATATACTAATATAAAACGTACTATACTGTAATTAAATAAATATTTATATTTAATTTAATCATTTATTTCAGGCAATATTTACAAAAGGATCTTAAATATGTATACAAAGGCCCATAATATATATACCTTAAAACTAACATATACATTATTTTAAAATTTAAAATAAAGAGGGTTTGTGATGAAACACAAAATTTACGATTTTCAAATTGTCCCTTTACTTGTGCTTAAGTTATTGCTTCTTGCCCGCAGAAACGCACAGGGAGGTGGCCGCCTTCGGTGGGCGGTGGGTGGTGGCCCTCTTCGGAAGGCGGTGTACCATGCGGGTTGCTCCTGGTACTTCTCTGACAGCAGAGTGGACTTTGGAGCAACCCCATGGTCGTTGTGGTCTGCTTCGGCAGACCTGCCGTCGGAGCGTCGTAGTTGAATGCGTAAGCGATCCTGCGACGACCCATTAAGACGGGGGAAGGTTTTGTTGGGTTTTAGTGGGTAGTACTGGCTTTGCTGGTGAGTCCCACATCTCGTGCGTAAATGCAATTCCCAACGTTAAAAAAAATTCTATTGATTGCGTTGACTTAAGAAGTTTAATTTTTCCACAGCAGTAATGAGTGTTTGTATGGGGAATCAACCTAGGGACGACCCCGAGCGAAGCAAGGGTGAGTCATTAGTATTTAACTATAAAAGCATGGTAAAAATCACTAAAAATCACTGAGTAGCGCCAATTACCAGTAATAAAAAAGATTTTTACTTGTAGATTCTATGTGTTTTTAAAGGTTTCTTAAACTTAAAGTTCACATATTAGCTTTAAAATGCAGAAATCTAGGCCAGACATAAGACCTGACCCAGATGCCCTCACAAGAACAAACACCATTAGTTAGCAAAAAGTGATTTTATTTATTTTCTTTATATATTCTTCTTTATACTATATATTAATTTTTTTACATTTTTAAAAAAAAATGTAAAAAATCACAATTTGACATCCAATTTTATAAAATAAAGTACTAAATCTTTTAAAACTCATTTTAAATAAATATAGTAGTGCTCTGGATTAACTCAAAGATAAGATATAGTATATCTTTTAACACATTATCTTGTACTTATCATTATTTCATAATAGTTCAGTATCTGTACAATTAATTTTGTTGCAAAAATCCCATCTATCTATAAAAATGAATGTTAGTATGTTTGTCCGCTTTACATTCCTAAACCATTCATCTGATTGATAGTATACTCTTACATTGCAGATTTTGTATTTTTTCTCAGAAATGAGATATTTTCACGCGGTAATAAGTATCCTTTACGTTGACCCGGATAACCAGCTATTACCATACCAAATTTCATCAAAATCCCTCCAGTGGTTCTTTGGTGATATGGTAACAGATAAAATTTTTAAAAACCATAGATTCAGCCTCTGTATCGATAATAATGTTTATTTCAATAAGATTCTCCAAAAAATATTTAATGTACAGATTCGGCTTAGTTACAATTTTATTATATCATTAGATTATGTTCTTTTATTATTTTAAATGAAACTATCTTTTCGGATTTTTTCGCGAATTTATTTTGATTTTTATTTCCCGACGTTTCGAATGCTTTACAGCAATCATGGTCACGGGAAAGACTGAGGTGTTAGATGTCTCTAAGGTATTATATAGTTGTTACAGACAGCCACTCTATTAATATTATAAATATGAAAGTTTGTGAGAATGTATGGGTATCTGAATGTCTCGATGTAAAGATGTATAGATGTTTGTTACTCTTTCACACAAAAACTACTGAATGGATTTTAATGAAACTTTTCAACAATATAGCTTATACATCAGAATAACACATAGCTTACTTTTCATCACGGAAAAATTTACGGTTCCCGTGGGATAGATTTGTTTTTGTTTCATAGTATTTTATATAAGAAGAAATAAAAGTAAAACATTGCAATTTAAAAGTAATATGCCTGATCATGGTAATGTTATATCTGTTTAAAGTTTAAGAAGACTTTAAAAAGGAATAAGTGTTCAACTCCATCCCTAAAAGCCATATATTAAATTAAATTCTTGTATGTCTGATGTTATGTATCTTTTTTGTTAAAAATTAACTACATATTTTAGTATCATTTGTATTTAATTTACTATAGATTGTCAGTAGGGGAAAATGAACGGTCCTCTATGTAACCACAACATCGAGTATGAGAAATGTTGATAAACTTACAAATGCCATCAATCACTTCAGAAATGTACACAGCAGATCTATGAGCGGGCACCTTTTCCTGCATTGTGTTACCCTCTGCATCCATCCGGAAATTACCAACCTGAAATAAGTAACGTTTTCATGATGTCAATAAATCAAATTATATTACCATAAATATGGTAAAAAAACAAACATTTTAATTCATTTACATACAAATAACTAACTAAGTTTAGAGGCAAAAATATATATGTATAAAATAAATAACATTAGTAATCTTACACAATTATGAGGAGGAAATAATTGTTTTTTCAGTTTAATTGTAACTCTGAAGCCATTTAAAAAATGCCTTATTTATTTATGTACATATAATGAATAAGAGCAAACTCAAACAAAAAAGTTTTGTTATAAAATTTAAAACTTTTTAAAATATTTGTTCGTTATAATATATTGTTTTAGTTAATGATCTATCACATATGCTATCATGTGCAAAGGGATGCACTTGCATGCTCCCTCTCTCATAAATATTGCACATTTTTCCATGTAGGAAAATTTATAGAAAAGTTAAAGAAATAAAATTATATGTGTAAAATCCCTGTTTAAATTTAGATATCTTCAAAGAAAATATGATAAATAAGATATGAATAAAATTATATAGTTGATAATTTAAAGATTAGTTAGTAATTTAATGCGAAGAAGCAGAAGCACCCCCTGGAAAAAATTCTGTTTAATTAAAAAATTCGGTCTATTATATTTTAATATGATTATAAAACAACTATTATAAAAATACATATTATTTCGAATTTCTTTAGTTAAGTACTAAGGTATTCAAGTTCTTATGGTTTGATTTAGGAGAGAAGAAATAGTTGTATGGGAAAATATCAATATACACTAATCAGAATAACAAAATTTAAATAAAATTATATAACATCAAGTCCGACTATCTCGGAAAAACTCAGATACAAGTTTTAGATGTTTTTTTTAACTTACTACTTCCTTATTAGTGTGTAATTGAATAAATTATATTAATCATCATATTAGTACAAAATATTGCAACTAATATCTAAGTTAAAAATATTATATAAATATATACAATAAGTACACCATATAACATAAATAAATTTTAGAATAGACTCATAAGAACTAAACTTACATTAACACCCAAATTTCATAAATAATACATAAGTTACATGAATTGGACAGGTACAAGGAAAACTATATTATTAAATACTTACATCAACTTTTTTCCATTTTTCAACTCCTTTTATCACCGCGTTAAGCTCTTCAAATGTAGTACGACACACTGGAATTAATTATAACATGTTATTTATAATATATAAATATTTATTAAAACTAAATAAAATTCCATATAAACAAACCTAAGCATTTCAAATTCCGTGGGTCTATCTTAGCTGAAACTGCAATGAATAAAATTGTGAAACTTAAAATTGCAGTGCTTAACCGCATTTTGCAGAATTTTTAGTTAATAGATGTGTAATTTCTTGATAATCTCAGTAAAATGACTTTAAAATTTGTACGACGTGTTACGATAGTTTATCTTTACTGTCAAATACACGCACTCGATTGTGATTGGTTGTTTAAAAAGAAATATTATTGTGACAATAATGTAAAAAAATAAGTTGGTATAATAAAATAATAGATATTTTAAAATAATAAAATAAATAATAATAAATTTTGATGATCTTAAATTTATTTAAAATTATATTTATAATAAATAAAGTTTTATGTTTTATTTTTTAATAGCTTATGTATTTTTAATAGCTAACGTAGTTTATTGTTTGAATAATTGAACTGTGGCCTAAATAGCATAATTACTTGCATTTGTTTATTAATTATTATTTATTTTAATTCGTTTATAAATTATACATTTTGTAGAATTACTTATTACATATATAGCACGTTTTATGTTTTGCTATTTTCAAAAAAAAATATTAAAATTTAGAGTCCAAGCTGTATTTCGATGTCATCCACGGTTATTCCCTTATTAATTTGCTACCCATGTTCTTTTTATGGGTATTTAAAATCATCGTATCGTCGATATTTGTATCGTATTGATAAACTATTCAATTATTATTTTATTAAAGTAAATTTAATATATCTTTATATATGTATAGTCCAAGGTATAAGTGCAACATAAAAGATATTTTCTTACTCATATTTCTTATTGCTTATATGATATAAATTAATAAGCAATTTAAAACTAATTAAAATATACATAACATTAATTATACAAAACTTGGCAACATCGGTTACCTCCCTGTGATATAATAGCACTCACTCACACTCACAAAGTAATATAGTGTAAGCGCTTCAGCTTTCAATCAAAATGTGAACGGATGTCAATTTTAAAACCCATTTATCTAAACAATATATTGACATACTATTTTGAATATTAGTACCATTTTAAATATGTTATATGATTTTTAAGCTCCAATAATCTATTATAATTTATTTTATTTTGTATATTGATAAAAAAGTAACTATCCTTTCTCGCTCCCTCGCTCACCCATTCTCCGGTTTTCCGCCCGCCGCCCTCCACCATCAACCGACCCAAACTAAACCAACAGTTCGCATTCGGTCTCTCAGCGCGTAGGACGTTTGCTTAACGTAATGTATATTTTTTTTGTGCATATCAAATCTTCTCAAAATCTCAAAATACCGTAATCTACTTGTTTATATCGACTACAAGTGACACTCCGGTGAATATAAAGAAGAGAGAAAGCCGTTTTGAGTAAAAATACAGGTAAGTGCCCAGTTGACAGATTGCGTCTTACCCTATTTGATATCTATTATATACATTTTATAATATATTTAATTGATTTTTCTATTACATTCGATTAACTCGTAGTCAGAAAGTAATATGTTAGTTCCATATTGTCTGTATGACATGTCCACACCTGTACCCTCCCATACGCTGGACGCTCTATAATATAAAAATTCAATATAAATATTGAACGCCAGTAACATTCCGAGCATATTCCAGTTGGAATCGAAAGTATTGTCAAAAAATTTGTTAATTTCATAATGATACACCGCGCGCTCTCAACGACGACTTGGCAACGCGACGTTCGTTTAATTGTGTAAAAAAATTTATCCAATGATCGTAAACAAGCAAGTGCCGAGTCCTACCGGCGTTTCCTTTGTTTTTCGCGTGAAATCGGCCCTTTGTCCTTCGTCTGAGAGCGCTGGGTGCGCCGGGCATAGGAATTTCGACTCTAGAAAAGTGCCATAATACCTACATGATGATATACATTCATCGGTCGGGCCGCGCTCTGCCGTTCCCCGCGTCGTCTCTACGCTGTGTTAGTGTGTACTTACGGCGGGTACGTCGGTGTGGTTGTGCGGTAGTTTGTTTATAGTGGCAGCCAGCGCGAACCCGTCTCTATTGCTGGGGTGCTACGGCGCACTATGCTATATAGGTCGGCGTCCTCGTCGCTGTTTGTCTATCGATCTCTGCGGTGGCCAATGGCACATGCACTGCGCGGCCGCGCCTTGCCCCGCTCCGGTGAAAGCCGGTGGATCGCTGCGTCGTTGTATCATACTGTATAGTGTATACATGTATTATGTTATCATGTCGGCCGTTACGTCCGTCTGTCCGTTTGCGGTCGAGTCGATCTCGTATTTATACATGGCATAGGTGGCGCGGCGTAGGCATCGCCGAGCGGCTGATAGTTGTGAATGTTTGGTCGGTGCCGCGCGAGCGTCATGGCCGCGCGGCGTAGGGGGGAGCGAGCTCGAAATAGAAGCGCGTTGCAAAACTGCGACGTGGCAACACCGCGAGACGCGACACAGCGCTCAGTGTCGGTTCAAAATGGCGCCTGTGCGTGATCGATACCGTGGTATTCTCGTTGAAATGTCCGTATTTGTGATGTATCTGGTTGTCGGTCGGCCCGAATGGTGCCCTGTGACTGCGGGGCCTGCGCCCCGCATGCCGTGGTCCGACCTCAATGTACGTATCTCCCAACCATATTGCGCCGACACTTAGCTAGCTATGGATATGCCTACGATCCCCGACCGCGATCATATGTACACCGTACACGTATCGCATGCATACCCATATCTGCTCTCGATTTATCTCCAGCTTAAATGTTTGTGTTAAATGAAATATCGGATGCGTTTTCTTTTCAGCTGTTACGTAACGACCACCTGACCGTAATCTAAATTTTCTTATATTAGCTCCAAACGTCTTGATTAGACTTTTTTTACATCACATCTGCTGTTTCCATCAAAACAAATAATAAAAAAAAGTGGCAATGATCATATGATCATAGCGAGTTGCATCTGGTAGGTAAATGAAAACAAGATGGCGGACGCAATTGTAAAATTAAGACGCAGTTGCGCGCTCGCCCCGCGCACGCTGGCAACGCCGCACTCGCACAGCGCGCTAGCCAATCGCTCTAAACGATAAGAAGTTTCAAGGCTAAAAGTTTCGTATCCTACGTTCCATAACAATGGATAAGCTAAATACGTGATAAATTAATACCATACTAGTTTAATAATAAAACTTGTTGAGTTATTATTATTTTTAAATGGCGGCCTAATTAGGTTTTGCTCTGGCGCTGTTCACAAAGCCTATTGCAATATGCCCATGTACTTGGACACGCACACAACGAAGCATATATTCCGTAAGCCTGTGTGTACATTGTCTTGTATTACGTCACCGCGCTGCTGAATTTGATTGTAAACATTGCCATATAATAAAAAATTTTGTAACCGTTTTTTAATGTTGTTATTAAAACCAAAAAGTTTGCCACAAAGGCTGTCCTTGATAATCTAAAATATAGAGTTCCTCGAGTCAAGTAACAAAAGCGTCTCGACGTTATTTGTATAGAAAAAATACTTTTTGCTTAAAAAGTAAACTTATTTTAAGTTTTATCTTGACTTTTTTCTTTTTTTTTATGGAAAACAATGGCCTGAGTTAAAAAAAAATAACATGGATGTAATGGATAAAATATAACATGGAAATAATGACACGGGAACACTTTCCACTGGCTTGAAATATTTTTTTAATACTGAAACTTGAATCTGCTAATCGTACCCATTGAAATCCCACAACTACACTATATGTGAATTAAGTTTCACTTCAATGGTTATGTTGTAATGAAGAAGCCTCATAGTTTTGATTATATTATAATTTTGCTAAAGATTAGAATAGAAAATAAAAAAAGAAATTACGTAGACACTAATTGTGTATATTAAGTCAGTAAATTTTCGGACATTATGTTGTTGCTACTAATTAGTAAGTTAAACAAAATAAAATATGAAAATGAGCGGCACAAAAATTATTATTTCATATTTATAATCTGTCTTTTAAATTTTGATGTATTGATTAACTTTGGAAAAACGGTGACATATCTATGTAACCTATGTGCTATTCCAAACTATAATCTATCTCTGTGGCAAATTTCATCCAGATCCGTTCAGCCGTCCTGACGTGATTGAAGAACAAACATTCAAAAATCCACCTAAACTTTCACTTCGCTTCGCTCAGGTTCGTCCCTAGGTACGTTTTGACGCTTAGTATGGAATAGATTTGTTTTTTCAAAAATTTTTGTTCGTTAATTTTTCCCACATTTATTCTGCTATTCGGGATGAAGACAAATCCAACAAAAAAAGATCACAAAAATCGGTCCAGCAGTTCTCGAGTTATAAGTATTGTAACAAACCGGACTTTGTTTTATATATATACAAGATATAAATATAAGAATAAGATGAATAGATATTTTTAAGTTGTCATCTACACAATCATCGATTCTACTAAATATCTACCTAAAAAATTGCAATATTACAAATGTATATTATATTTAGGCTTAGCACAAGCGATTTACCCTCGCTTAGCTCGCGTACGCCTCTAGGTACGTTTTAATTTTTTCATCAGTAGCCTAATTCTTAAAAAAATATAAGTAGCCTAAGTTAATCCTTATAACATCAGCTATATACCAGTGAAAGTCCCGTCCAAATCGGTCCAGCCGTTTATAAGTACTGTGTATAATTTCATATGCATTTAGTAAAAAGCTGTTATTTTTACATTACACACAGACACTTCAATTTTATTTATCAATACCTACGTATAGATTTATATTAGAAAATTAAATTTAATCATGACTAAGTTCAAACACTTTTGATTCATGCAAGGTTTCCTGTTTAAAGTGTTAAGAAATGTTGTTGCCTCATACTCGAGAAATTGTTAGTAAATAACTAAATTAAATATTTAAAAAATCCCCGACCATCTTGGACCGATTTTCATCAAACATAGCTAAGAACACTCGGTCAAAATCGGTTCACGCGTTCGGGAGCTACGATCACACAGACAGACAGACACTTCAAACTTATCTACGCTACAAACGTCGTTTTTGGGTTGGGGGTTAAAAATAAATAATTAGTAACACATTTTATACTTATTTTGCCTTACGGTGAAGGAAAACTTCGTGAAACCTTTTCTTAGAGAACCTAACAAAATTTCGTCATATAATAATCCATTTTGTTTTGAGGGGTGGCTCGTACCCAACAATGTGACCTTTAAAAGGGTCGAAAAAGTTTAACAAGTAGTATGAAACTAGGTAAATTGTGTAACAAAACAGTGGCTGTGTAAGGTTTTTCTATGGAAGCCAATCAACGTACCGGGATTGTTATTTTCAGGTTTTTAAATAAATAAATATGAATAAGTTGGGACATTAACACACAGCACCGTCTAGTTCCATGGTAAGCTATGGGGCTTGTGTTATGGATACCAGATAGTTGATACACTACACATATATAACTATAAATACATATTTATTATAAATATAAACAGCCATGACTGGAGTATAAACATTTGTGCTCATCACCTCAAATGAATGCCCCCAGCGGGACGCGAACCCGCGACTGCTGGCACAGTAAGTAGGGTCACTACAAACTGAGCCAAACGTGTCTTTATAATATTTAAACTATTTCTATAAGAATATATCATCTACATGGTACACGTTTCCCCGCTATTGTGTAAAACGACGGCGGGAATCCATTTAAGTATCAACATTATAAAAGAAAACTTGAACATACTATATACTAGCGGCTCACCCTCGCTAGCTTCGCTCCGGTTAGTCGCTAGGAAAACAAAAACAAACCTATCCCACGGGAACCGTAATTTTTTCCGGGATAAAAAGAAAAACCTGTGTGTTATTCTGAATGATTATATATCTCTGTGCCAAATATTATCCAGATCCGTTCAGCCGTTCTAGCATGATTGAATAACAAACACCCATACATCCAAACTTTCCTAATATAATATAATATTTTTTATTTGCTCTGAATGTAGGTGTACATAGTATATTACAGGTGTAGGCATTAATATGTATTGAGTATCCGTATACATTCTACCATTAGCCATGCAAATGTAATTTTTTAACTTAAAAATTTACAAAGGACAGTAACAGTGACAATAAGTAACAAATTTATATATATATATATATATATATATATATATATATATACTAGCATTGCCCGCGGCTCCGCCCGCGTTCAGATGACCAAAAACCAAATTCTTAGGTTTTACATATTAGTATCCTCTTACATTGCAGGTTTTGTTTTTTTTTTCTCAGTAATGAGATATTTTACCGCGGTAAAAAGTATCCTATATGTTGACCCGGATAACAAGCTATCATCATACTAAATTTCATCAAAATATCTCCAGTGATTTTTCCGTGATCCGGTCACAGACAGACAAAAATTGTAAAAACTATAGATTCGGCATCTGTATCGATAATAATAAAAATATATTTCAATAAGATTTTCCAAAAAATATTTAATGTACAGATGAACAATAGGTTTTTATTTATCAAGCATTGCGGCTTTATATCACGATAAAAGCACGGTAATATATGCATTACATTACCGTGATAAAAGTTTTTTGTTGTATTTTCATTTAGTTCCCTTGTTGCTCGCTATCTTTTAATTGTTGATATGAAACAAACATATGAATATCGCGTTATAAACATCACCGCTATGACAAAAAGAAGACAATATAATGCTTCTAGTAAAGAATTTGTAAATGGATACTAAGATAATCATTATAAAGCTTTATTAAGTTTTGGGCAAAATTAGTTATAATAAGTTATTAATAGTTGAAAATTTGAAAATAAAAAATAAATACGTTGGAACACACAGAACCATCTAGTTCCAAAGTAAGCTACGAGGCTTGTGTTATAGATACGAGATAGTTGATACACTACACATATATAACTTTAAATACATACATATTATGTTATAAATATAAACAGCCATGAATGGAGTACAAACATTCGTGCTTATCACTGATATGAATGCCACCAGCGGGACTCGAATCCGCGACCGTTGGCACAGCGAGTAGTGTCGTCAAAATATAGTTTAAGGCATTATTCAGTGGTAGTGTAGCTTCCTATTGGTGAAAGAATTTTCAGAATCGGATTGGAGTCTGAAAACAGCTAAACGGAATACCTTTTCAAGTCGAACAAATCACCCTAAAAGACAATATTATTATATATGTATATACAATTAACGCCACCTTTTAGCAAATTTTATCAGTAACAGGACCCTGTGTGCTATTTTAGACCGTAGTCTATCTTATAAAATTATATAATTCTAACTGAATCGAATCTGTACATAAATTTTTTTTTGGAAAATCTTATTGTTATAATCATTTTTATCGATATAGAGGCCGAATCTATAGTTTTTAGAATTTTTGTCTGTCTGTCTATCTAGGAATGCATCACGAGAAATCACTGGACCGATTTTGATAAAATTTGCTATTAAATAGCTGGTTTATCCGATTCAACATATTATAGGATAGTTTTTTATTGCGGCAAAATTTCACATCTTTGAAAAATCTATACTAAACATTAAAGCGTAACTAGGGACGAACCCGAGCGCGGGTGAATCTCTAATAGTGAAGTAGATATATAGGGTGCGTACTTTTGGCAAATTCCTTCTGTCATTATTCTACTCCATTTACCCTCTGCCAGGTTGTCTTTGTAACCCGCAATATAAGAGCATCTCAAAGGTTCTTTGATTCAATCCATTTTTCAAGACATTGTGTACTTTCATTGTGATATTTATTTATTGGACTATATAATTTGTTGAATCATTACGCCATTTGATTGAAATTTAATTTTTGTCTCAACACCATCTTGTACTAAGTTAAAAAATAAAATATTGTGTTTCTTTTTAAATTGATAAAAAAATATCTTTTTAGTATATATCCTATCCCAATTATTCAAAACATAAATTGAATTTCACTAAGTACCGAATACCGATAACCTACAGGAGTTTTACTCTTTGGGCGTGAGTTTTGAGTTTTTTGTTACAAGCACTCATTTTTTTTTACGTATAGGTTATGGGGTGGTCTTATATTATAAGTTTCAGTAAATATTCGTATATGTGCCACCGCTTTGTTAGAATTATTTTTAACATCTATAAAGCTAGCATGGCAAAATGAGCAAAATTAGCGCAACACTTAGTACTATTTTAGTGCCAAAAGCTAAAATTTGATGCATTTATAGATTGGCAGAAATTTACAACACTGCTAACTAGTAATTATCAAACTAAAAAGTTTATGCCTTCAAACGTCGTAATTAACTCAATATAGCAGTAAGGCAAAGTAAGAAAAACTTACTCGTAAATGCTCAAGGAGTGCTGGTGATATGTGATTAAGGGGGGAGTGGGTTGTCAACGAAATGTGATGTTATTGATTATACGAAATTGTATGATAAACGACGGGGGGGAGTCAAGCTTCGTGACGTCACATGTCAAAATCTAAACTCAAAATCTATTAAAATACAAAACATTAATTGTGAACGAAATATAAAAAAATATATCTTTCTTTACGCTATATTATTGTTTTATTGGCAAGATCTCGCTGAGCAACAAGCTGCTCGCTGTGCCACGATGTTGATGTTGATATTATTAAAAAAATTTTTTTTGGGACTGCTGTTTTTATTTTATTCTGTTCTGAGTGTAAAATTGCAAAATATGTGACGTTACAACAGAGGGGGGGGGGGCACAATTTTGACCCACCCATCTGTGACAAGGAGGGGGGAGGGTTCAAAAAATCATTAAAATCGCAATTTATGGACAGCCCCTTAGCAATTTTGCGAATTTTTTTTTGTATTTAAATAAACAAAACTGCTAATATGACACTCTCAGTAAGTTACATGGTTAAATACAAAGATCTGCATCAGTAATTAATCATTATTGGGGGTTTATATTTAGTGCTGGCCATGTGTAAGCAGAAATTTAGCGATTTTTTTTATTTTTGAATAATCAAAACTGCTAGTGTGACAGTTACAGCAAGTTCCAGGGTAGAAGGCAAAGATCAGTTTTTTTTTTATGTTTGTTACCTCAAAACTCCGTAATTTATTAACCGATTTGGACAATTTTTGTTTTGTTTTAAAGTGTATGTATACTTCCAGACTGGTCCCATTTAAATAAAAAAAAAATACCACCCTTAAGGGTGGAAAATTAGATAATGAAAAAATTATCTACTTCTAATTATCATATTGACTTGAAACTTTGCAAGTGTTTCTATTTCCGTTGATAGTGCAGTGGTTCGGTATCGTCGACCTGACCTGATGGTAAGCCCAGAAGGTTGATAGGTGGAACTCTTCAACGGCTAATAGTGGATACTTTGAGTTTGGTCTTATTTTGTTTGATTTGACAAGCCCAATACGTTAGAATTGTATTTTCGATCCAGAGTTTTTAGTGTTACTAATAAAAGCTAATTTGAGTTTGTCAGTCTTCATATAAAAATTGGCATCAAACTAACTTAAAACTGCTTAAACAAATCTTTTATTAAAATACTTTCTTTCTTCTTATTTTGCTACTATTATGTATACACTAAAGATGTTTTTTAAAGTTTTTATATTTATAAAAACTAAATAAAATTACAACAGACTTAAAAAAAACACTAAAAAGTAAAAAATAACTGATTGGTAGTTTCTTATTTACTATAGATACCTTTATCAAATTCTTAGGTTTTACATAATATTAGTATACTCTTACATTGCAGTTTTTGTATTTTTTCCCAGAAATTAAGACATTTTCTCGCAGTAAAAAGTATTCTATATGTTGACCCGGATAACCAGCTACCACCATACCAAATTTCATCACAATCCCTTCAGTGGTTTTTCTGTGATGCGGTAACAGACAGACAGACAAAAATTCTAAAAACTAGATTCGGCCTCTGTATCGATAATAATGTTTATTTCAATGAGATTTTCCAAAAAATATCTAATGTACAGATTCGGCTTAGTTACAATTTTATTATATGTATAGAAAATTAATTAGGGTTCCGCTCAAAAAAACTTAAAATTTACCTAGGGACGCACCCGAGCGAAGCGAGAGTAAGTAGCTTATATAAACCTTATATTCATTCGAGAAAAATTTTTATTCAATAGATTCCAAAACTCCCTCAGCCCGACCTACATCAACCATCCCTTGATAATCTCATGCTGTAAACTTTCCGCCAGCGATCGCTAATCTTATTTATACCATATTTTAATTATACAATAAATGGACTAATTATTATATTTCTATACTTGTTTTAGTCTGTGATTTCGCATATTTCTCTATTTCAATTTAATCTGCACTAATAATGATGACCTCTCAAGGCATATTATTGGATGTGCCTATGTGATTGCGTTGTCATTCCCTCAGCTTGAAGAAGTTTTATATGGAAAACTAGCGTATCGCCCTTGCTCTGCTCGGGTTCGTCCCTAGGTGCGTTTTAACAATTAGTATAGATTTCTCAGAGACGAGATATTTATTATATATTATCCCGCAGTAAAAACTATCCTATATACCCGAATAACCAGCTATCATATCATACCAAATGCATCAAAATCTGTTCAGTGGTTTTCTCGCGATGCGTTCTCAGACAGACAGACACAAAAGTTCTAAAATCAATAGATTCGGACTCTGTATCGATAGTAATGACTATTTCATTCCAAAAAATTTTTCATGTAAAGATTTGAGAAGAAGAAAACAAAAAGAATTTTGTTATAGGTATGTATGTGTATAGGTAATCTTTCACTGACCAAAGCTTAGAACTTAAAGCTATCGCTCTTAAGACACATTAAAAAAATAAAATTTTCAGAAAAAGTATCCAATTAAAGGTTCGTTCGAAAGTATAGGTAAATTGTAAATCTATCATCTGTATATATAATAAGGAAAATTGAACTGTCTGTTTGTGATGTCGAAATGACAGTTTTTTACTAAATGCGTATGAAATATTACTTATAAAAAAAAACAATTTTTAAATTTTTTGTCTGTCTGTTTGTACCGGATAATCACCGAAACGGCTGGCCTTATTTTGACGGGAAATTTCACTGGCAGATAGCTGATGTTATAAGGAGTAACTTAGACTACTTTTATTTTAGAAAATGAATTACAGTTCCGCTCAAAAAAAACTTACTTCGGTAGTAGGTTTTTTTGGGTGCGTCCCCACGCACCCGAGCGAAGCGAGGTTCTATAGTTAGCCTAGTATATAATCTTGCATTCCGAATCTTAGTCAAATCCATTGAGTTGTTACAGCGTACAAAAACACAAACATTTTCGACCCTCTTGACGTTATAAGTTTGACGTCGATGTCTGTCTGTGTGTGTCTGTCTGTGACATCGTAACTCTCAAACGGATGGACCGACTTTGATGCGGTTTTTTTTTTCATTTGAAAGCCAGTTTCCTTGCGGTGGTTCGGTTAGCTATGTTTGGTTAATATCGGTCCAGCAGTGTAAGAGTATCAGCTCTTTTCAAGGCATTTTTGCGTATAATTACTCGATTAAGTGCTTCACGCGTGCCAGTGTAATCGTTAAATGACAATTTGCATAGGGGGTCTTTTAAAATTTTTAATTATTGATTCCTATAATTATAAATGCTAGAGTAGTTTAATATTAATATTATAGTGTGCTTGCTCGATAAAAAATTGACAATTCTGTGCTAGCAGATAATAGTAATATAACGAATAAGCAGTTTCATCAAGATTCACCGTTGGACCACAACATTGTCCCATGAATGTAAGATGTTTATGAAAAATAAATATTTAAAAACATTGGTTCGGTTTTTTCTTGTCCTTGTTTAGTTTAAACGTGCTTATTTATCGCGCCAACTTACTGCTATTGTAAACGATCGAGGTTATCACAACCTATTTCAAGGTTTTCTCTTCATAATAAACATACAAAAAATAATTGAAATGCCACCTTTATAGTATATACTAGCTCAACCAAGTTTCGCTCTGGTTCGCCTCTAAAAAAACAGAAACAATGTATCCCACGGGAACTGTACATTTTTCCAGGATAAAAAGAAGCGTGCTATTCCAGACTATAATCTATATCTGTGCCAAATTTCATCCAGATCCATCCAGCCGTTCTGGCATCATCCATCTAAACTTTCACATTTATAATAATATTAGCCAAACGTCAAACTGCCTTGGTGGTTTCTCTGTCAATACGAGGGATACGCGAGGAAGTTTTTTTATGTTGCAATGATAAGTTTGCCTTCAATAAAAATATGGTCAAGTGTGAGTTGGTATTGCGCTACAAATGTTTGACGTGTCTTTGTCACATTTAAATATAAACATAATAAAATTTTATTTGCGTATATTTTTAAATTTGGGTAGGTACCTCAATATAACAAATATTCAACCAACTATCTACCTACCTATATTACATACAGAAGATTTTCTTCTGGTATTATGACAAGGAAAGCATTTTAAGTTCCTTACCTACTTAATCTTTTGGTAACGAAGACCTAGAAGGTAACATTTTGCAAGTTATTCAATCACTGTTATTCCCACCGCTGCCAATCATCTTGTTTCGTCCCCTCGTTACGACATAGCAACAAACCGGACCCCTATCTCGGATACCTTAACGATTATATTAAAAGAAAAATAAATAAGATAAAATATCAACAAAATCAAAACCGACCCGATTCCTAGCGGTTCCATTATAAACGGCGGAATATAGATAATAAATATGGCGGGCTATTCGCGAGTTGTATAATTTTAGAGAAAGGAGATTTGTTTTGGTCCACCACCTTCGTGGTGGCGTATCGGCGATGCGGCGTTGTCTCACTTCGGGGCGCGCTTCGATCGGAGCGCGGGGCGAAGGCGCCGTTAGTCAGTCGGCCGCGCAGCTCGGTGCGCGACGTTCGTGCGCGAGGCCCCGTCGCTCTGCCCTCCCTCCCCCCTCCCCCGCGCCCCAACGCCGCCGTGCACACCCGCCCGCCCGCCAGCGCGCGCGAGCGAGACGACCGCGCCGCGACAGAGACGGGAGATATGGCGGTGTCGCAACCTCGCCCACCTGACCGTGTTGACGCCGCGCTCGAAAAAGTTGCGCCGTTGCGCTATTTGAAGGCGCACGAATATACGAGCACGGTGACGCGTTATCACAAACCCTTGTCTTAAAAACAGATTTTTTGATTATTTAAGACGTGCGAAACTGTTATAATACGACGCTCTGCTGTGTTATCTCGCTGCTTCCAACGGTACGTATCCTATATATTTTATTCAAAAGTGCTCACGTTATCTCGTGTGCACTGTGTGTAGATAAGCCCCCCATCTCGATCCTTCTGTGCTACCAATCTCTCGGTGTCGGTGAGCACGAATTTAACATCGTAATTTGTTGGTATTTATTCGCCATTTTCTACTTGGGTGACGAATACCACAGTCGTCCTCGTTTCTTACCTATCACGGTAAACCGGACTTTACCGCTCTATTCCGAAAGTCGATTCGGCGTTTAAAATCGCATCCGAGGCAATGATTCATTGTGGAAATAATAATAAAATTCTCGTAAGCCACCCGCTCCGTGTAAGACATTGCGGGCTCTGCGTCGCGTTAAAAACGCGGGATAATAAATATGTTTTAATGTCTTTTAATTTGTTTTGTGCTTTTGTTGTCAAATTGAAAGTTTAAACTGAGAGCATTTTGTGTCGCCACCGGTTATAATTGCACAAAAGTCGATGTGCTATCGATTTGTATACGTTTTCCGCTATAAATAAGTGCTAGTTTGTGTCATCGCCATCGCCGCGGGACCGGTTTCACTGGACCAGTGTGTGGAATTTCAAAGTGGTTAGAGTTTTTAGTACACCTTTACATTTCGATATGTTGTTGCGTAATTTATTTAACTCCAAAGACGCGTTGACGGTAGGACCTGAGTTTTTAATCCTTTATTTAGTCCGGCCCACGCATTCGCTGATGACGTCATACAGAAAGAGTCGATAAATATATTTGTTTTTGTAGTGTATGTATGGTGGCGAGAGCGTTGTGTTACGTAATATTGAAGTGATATCTGGTTGGTACAATCGTATAATGACCACGTTTTTTTTTTAAAGTTTCATATGCCCGATTTCACCAACGCTACCTAAGTTTAAGGGATCCCCTAAGCATGGTTAGGGGACAGTTTGTGTTTCACCGACAGTTAGGGGTCACCTAAATATTAAAAGGCCCCCTAAATTTAGGTGCTCGAAATATGGGCATAAAGACGATCGTAAAACGAAATTCAATTTAGGGGCTAGTTTAGGGGATTTTTAAGCTAGCGATCCCATACGTAGGTGGTAGCTTATGGGTTGTTGGTGAAATCGGGCAATAGAATTCTAAAAAGTCACTAGGTAAGCCCTTTGTCAGCGTTATGGCGTATTTCGTAAGTTAAACGTGCCATTTTGTTCTACCGCGTGACTAAAGTTTTATCGTATGTTGTAATTTTTAACCTTATCCTTGACGGATTCGAATTACATGCAAAAAATAAAAGTGGTAAGATTGCATTTTATTATATTACATATTATTTACATTCAAAGTTCATCATGTTTCAAGATTTGAAATATTCAATTACACTATGTCGTGTAAAAAAACTAAATGCAGTTTGGTACTTATTTATGTTTGTAACGCATTTTTGTTGTATCACCAATTTTAAATAGTAAGTATAATTTGTATTCTAAGAAAGTTTCTAAAAAAATACCTACTTATGTTAAAATGTTCTAGAAAGTTGCACGAGTTGATTGTTATTCCTCATTTTCATAAGACATTCAATTCACTATCGTGATACAAAATCTATACTATACATAATATAATAAAATTGTAACTAAACCGAATCTGTACATTAAATATTTGTTGAAAAATCTTATTGAAATAAACATTATTATCGATACAGAGGCCGAATCTATAGTTTTTAGAATTTTTGTCTGTCTGTCACAGAAAACCCACTGGAGGTATTTTTAATAAAATTTGGTATGGTGATAGCTGGTTATCCGGGTCAACATATAGGATACTTTTTACTGCAGGAAAATATTTTCCATTTCTGAGAAAAAATACAAAAACTGCAATGCAATAGTATACTAATATGTAAAACCTAAGAATTTGGTTTTTGGTCATCTGAACGCGGGCGGAGCCGCGGGCAATGCTAGTATATACATATATTAAGAAGATGTTTGTTGGCACGATACAATGTAACTGGGTAAAATGCTAGTTAACTATAAAGTTCTACGGATTTAGCAATGATATCCTGTGTCATAACTTCTATTCTATTTCCCTCAATCCCGTTACATGCTTCCAATAAGCATGATGACTGCGTACAAAGGGATATAGTGATTAAGCATTGGAAGCATCATAATTTTACCATGGGTTATGGTGTGCCGAGAATGTTAATACAATAAAACTAATTATTATCTGTATTTAAATGAAAAATTAAAAGTTTATTAGTTGTTTTTATGTACTTGCACTAAAGTAATTTTAATTTAGATAAATTAATAGATTCTAAACCATTAAATAAAATAAACAAAAAAAATTACATTGTCAATGTGTAAGATGCACACATAGGTTTTATTTAAAAGTTTAAAATATATTGTAAAATAGGTTATTTAATTATCACAAGGAAGTAGGTTTTTGATAAGACAATATAAGGACAATTCAAGTCATTTATTTAATGGCAGAATTTTTCACAGTTTTGATTCTAAATTATTTTCACTAATTAAAAGAATTTGTTTATTTTTATGATTTTTATTATGCAATTGTAATAATTCAAATTTATTATAATTTAACTCGGATGTTATATAAATAATATTTATTTAATCTATGCAAAATATATTCTATTTTTGTTATACCACAGATAAATGAAGTTTGGCTGTTATCGAAATCATTTATCAAACAAAACCTTAGCGAATTACACAAATATTACTATTTTAAAAAAATATACAAATAAATGGTTTTGGGTCAAAAATATAAAGCTTTATATTTCTTATATATTGTACATCTTGTAACAGATACCTAGATTTCTGTTTGATTATTATAAAACTATAATTTTTTGAATCCCCTTGAAAATATGTTAATAATTTCCTATGTTGTTTGCAGTAGGATGGATACTGTTCTATCCAAATTACCACATACGGCTGTTGACTTTAAAACATTGTAGGTCATCAAGCAGATAACGGATCAAGTTTTAAATTACATGCTTGAGGAGTGTTTATTATGTCTATATATTCTAAGCCATAATAAATGATTTGTTTATTTTAATTTAACAAAAATAATATTAATTTTAGAACGTTCTAAATCTATACATATAATAAAATTGTAACTAAGTCGAATCTGTACATTAAATATTTTTTGGAAAATCTAATTAAAATAGACATTATTATCGATACAGAGTCCGAATCTATAGTTTTTAGAATTTTTGTCTGTCTGTCTGTCTGTCTGTTACCGCATCACGAGAAAACCACTGGACGGATTTTGATAAAATTTGGTATGGTGATAGCTGGTTATCAGGGTCAACATATAGGATACTTTTTACCGCGGGAAAATGTCTCATTTCAGAGAAAAAATACAAAAACTGCATTGTAAGAGTATACTAATATATAAAACCTATGAATTTGGCTTTTGGTCATCTCAATGCGGGCGGAGCCGCGGGCAATGCTAGTATATATATTTTTTTAAATAAAAATATAAAGTAAAATTTTAATCTATTCTCAATTTCCAGGTGAGCGGGTGATGGGCCGTTGACCGGCATGATGAAGCGTACGGGACCCCGCCTGGGGCCAGACGAGCCCTCGCCAATGCAGAATCCTGCTCAGGTATTGTATATATAGTTCTTTTATTTCTTGATAAATATAAAGTTAGACGAGGTTTCAGTTCAATCAATTCATATAGTTTTTAAGATAAATTAATGTTATTTGAAAGATCAAAAAATTAAATTTAACATACACACACTTATACAGGCATTAACTTATAATTTGCTAAAGCTTTAAAATGACCTGATTATGATTTTTCTTAGGCTGTATGCGTGTGTTCTTTCTTTTATTTTTTTGAAAAAAAAAAAGAAACTTAAGGATCAATTATAATCTACGCACATAAACCAGTGGAGTTCAATACACCGAAATACTAAAAAATAAATAAAATTAAAATATTTAGCAGCATTTTTTTTTCAATCAATCAAAACTTAAATAAAAGAACAAAGGAAACACTGTCAAAGATAAAATAAAGTTTAACGACCATAATAACAGGTCATATTAAAAGGCAGGTGCTTTAATAATGCTTCCGTTTTTGGTCCACAAAGAAACATTTTTAATTATGGAACGCTCTGCAAAATTACAATTTTAATAATAAATTCCAGCGCTCTGAAAAACTATTTGCGTTTTCATTAAAGTTATATAATGCTAAATACGGATAGTGTGAATAATATATATATATATATATATATATATATATATATATATATAAATTTAAAAAAAAGCCGACAGCGTAAAAAGCAAACTAAGAAGATGAGATCAAGTTTACGAAGAAAAATAGTATTATGCAGTCGGAGATATACACACACGCAACTATTACGTGTACAATGTGTCATAACTCATCAATGGGTTTCGCCGCAGTCGGGTAAACAATATGCCGTATAGTAAAATGGCTACTTTAGATTTGCTTTGTCTAGCTAGCGGCTCGACCTTGCTTCGCTCGGGTTCGCCTCCGGAAAGACAAAACGAACCGTACTTCCGGGATAAAAAGTAGCCTATGTACTATTCCAGCCTGTAATCTATCTCTGTGCCAAATTTCATCCAGATCCGTTCAGCTGTTGTAGCGTGATTGAGTAACAAACATCCAAACATGTAAACTTTCACGTTTATAATATTAGTAAGATTGAAAGATGTGTTTGTGTTTATATATCTTTAATAATGTATTAACACAGCTGTAGATAGAAACAAAAACAATTTTATCGTGCAGATTAAAAAAAAGTTTAATAATACAGATAAAATATGAACAACAATCACAAATTTAAAAAATATATATATATTATTCTGTGAATTGTGTAAATAACATGATTTGAATAGGTTCGTTGTTGGTATAATGATTGCATCCTTAGCATGCAATCTGAGTGCAACGACACAACCGACCACAATGAAAAGGAAGTTCGACTCATTATGTATCAATCATTACTTCAATAAGCAGTGTAATATGAAGGAAACTATAGTATCTTACTATTTATCTGTATATTTTCTATATTAATAAAAATGAATGTTCGTATGTTTGTTTTCCATGTGTTCCTAAACCATTGAACCGATTGTGATGAAACTCTGGTTGGTTATTCTGTATACGTCTGCGAAGGTTTCTGGCGCAAGCTTCGGGAGGCACCCGAGCGATGCGAAGGTAATCGCTTGTAATCTATAAATATATATGTATATAAAATTGCTGTTTCTATCTTTACATTGAGAGTTCAAAAATGAGGATTTATTCTAATGTTAAATCTTCGTTAATTGGGAGAATATTATGTATACTTTTAATTAAATAAATAAATAGGCAGACAAAAAAGTTTAATACCATTTTCTCCTCTGTTTTTCAATCGATTTGTAGCTATTGACGAGCATTGAGGTGTCTGCCCAATACATCGTCTCATACCGTGACCGTGCTATGAACGTATCAGGCACGGAAACGGACATGGCACGGATTATTATGCCCAATAGAACAAATTGCACCATTGCGCCGCCTGCGCGCACCGGTCCCGCGACGCTCCGTGCACGGCACGCGGCGACGGTGGACGGTCTCATACTTTTCAATACAAAGAATGTTTTTTTGGCTAACACGGTCCTAGCACGGTCATGGTATGAGACGGTGTAGTGGGCAGACTCTTTTAATGTTATCAATTAAAAAAAATATGTGGTCGGATTCCGACTAGATGTTAAATATATTTTACGATGGTCTTGGAATTTAAAAGGAAGTTTTAAGTACATTGCACTATAGTTGCGAAGTAAATGTGTTATTACGTGATACGCTGCTGTGCTTTTCGTCAAGTGTGTTGGTTATAAAACCTGTTTTGATTTTATTATTAATACTAGCGACTCGGCCTCGCTCCACTCGGGTTCGTCCCTAGTTACGTTTTAACGTTTAGTATTGATTTCTCAGAGATGAGATATGTTCCCGCAATAAAAAGCTATTATCATAGCAAGTTTCATCAACGTCTGTTGAGTGGTTTTCTCGTGATGCGTTCCCAGACAGACAGGTAGACATAAAATTTCTATAAACTATAGATTCGGTCTCTTTATCTATAATAATGAAATTTCAATAAAATTATCCAAAAAATATTTAATATTTAGCAGATTCATTGGATTTTTAAAGCTTCGCCCGTGTCCAAACTTTCGATCGCTACCAAACTTCACAGGATCACCCGCTGGGCTAACTAAAAGATTGCCTGCCTGAAAATTTCATCAAAATGTGTCTCCCACTGTTTTGGTTCATAACATACATACACACAACGATTTTTATTTTATTTAATCAACAATTTAGATGTATTTATTGCACGGAAAATGTAGTCTTTACATGAACATTTGGTGACACTGACTGCAGCGCCACCTACCGGGCCCAATTATATTTTCAAACCATCCATGAACCTATTGAAATATACACAAAAAGTTCATCCAAATCGGTCCAGCCGTTTAGAAGGATAACAGGTGACGAACTCACGTACAGAAGATAATCTATACATATAATAAAATTGTAACTAAGTTGAATCTGTACATTACATATTTTTTGGAAAATCTTATTGAAATAGACATTAATATCGATACGGAGTCCGAATCTACAGTTTTTAGAATTTTTGTCTGTCTGTCTGTCTTTCTGTCTGTTACCGCACCACGAGAAAACTACTGGACAGATTTTGATGAAATTTGGTATGATGACAGCTGGTTATCCGGGTCAACATATAGGATACTTTTCACCGCGGGAAAATATCTCTTTTCTGAGAAAAAATACAAAAACTGCACTGTAGGAGTATACTAATATGTAAAACCTAAGAATTTGGTTTTTGGTCATTTGAACGCGGGCGGAGCCGCGGGCAATGCTAGTATATACATATATTAAGAAGATGTTTGTTGGCGCGATACAATGTAACTGGGTCTACCTTGGGTTCACAACAAAACGAGAGTACTTGATAGCGTTAAAAACAAGTGTAGTGATAATTGCCCATATAATATTATACGAGTATAGCCACACCAAGTACGCAGACACGAGGTTATCAACTGGGTAATCTAAATGGAAAGCCTTTGCCTATAATGTTAGCTGACTTATGTTTATATATTGCCATGTTTACGTTTGTTTTTTTTTTAGTAAATATTATGTACTGCAATTTGTTTTTTTTTTTAATAATAATATTGATATGGATTCTAGTAGTATTATAATGGCGAAAGTTTGTGAGGATGTATGGATGTGTGCATGTTACTCTGACGCGAAAACTACTGAACGGGTTTTGATGAAACTTTACATTTGTGTAGCTTAGACATCAGGGTAACATTAAATTTTAATTAGATACATCTTTACATATAATAAAATTCTGTGTCGAATCTGTACGTTAAATATTTTTTGGGAATATATTATTGAAATAGTCATTATTATCGATACAGAGGCCGAATCTATGGTATTTAGAATATTTGTCTGCCTGTCTGCTGCCTGCCTGGGAACGCATCACGAGAAAACCACTGGACAGATTTTGATGAAATTCGGTATGATGATAGCTGGTTGCCCAGATCAACATATAGGATACTTTTTACTGCGTGGAAAAATCTCATCTCTGAAAAATCTCTACTAAACGTTATATATTACTATTGTAAGTAAAAAAAAAATTTTTCAGCAATTTTATTATAGTATATAATTAATAAGTAAAGGAGTGCCTACCTTAGATTTATTTTGACATTATTATATAAAAGGGATATTTATTTACATTTTTATCACAAACGAGGGACGCATTGAATGTGTACGGAAAATCATTTTTAAACCGCGTGCGCAGCTTATAAATAACATCGTACTGAATCACTGTTGGCACGTCCACGACTCGCCGTAATTATACTTGCGCTATTGAAATAGATCAAACGCTTGTTTACAGCGAGAACTGTATATAATGCTAATTTATTATATCTTTAATGTTGTGTATGTACGTGTATATATATATATATATATATATATATATATATATATATATATATATATATATATATATATACATACATACATACATACACGGCTTCTTTTTTTCTCGGAGCTGATTATTTTGATGGAAAACAAGTTTTTTTATAATATAATAATAATATGAAATACAAATATTATGATGTGTAGTCTATGTAATTTTCAATTCTAGTTTCTACAGAATTTTTGTATGTATTAGAATTATTATGTAAACATATTTTTAAACGAGCAACTGTTGACTGTCGTCGGCTGTTAATCAGTGATAAGATATTTTTTGAGTGTTATTGATGTATTTGGCGATTGCCCGCGGCTGCGCTCGCGTATTTTATTTGTTACTAGCAACTTACCTTGGATGCGCCCCTTGGTGTGCCGATTTTCATGGGGTTTTTTTGTGCGGAAACATAATAATCCTCTTTCTTAAATAAAAGTTACTCTTTTATAACATTAGCTATCTATCTGCCAGTGAAAGTCCCGTCAAAATCGGTTCAGCCGTTTCGGATATTAATTGGAACAAATAAACAGACACATACAAAAAAAATTTGTTACATTACATCTCTCGTTATGTTTTCCTCAATAAATAAGGGATAAAATCCAATTTTATTGAAATCTGCAAGTTCAAGTTTTATTAAGCCTTAAATTAGTATATACTTTGTATGTATAATTTAGAATGAAAGGGGTAAAATATTATATAGTTAAAAAAATATATATAATACTGAGAACAAAATTGCCTCTTAGGTAAAAGAAAGGAGGACAAACAAAAATTGTTGAATCATTCATCTGATCGCGTACACTTTTGTTATTTGATATTTAAATGTAATTATAAATAAAAAGTATTTGCTTGTTGAAATTTAATTAAAAATTCTACTTTCTTTCATTATCGTGAATAATAGTATTTTTATAAATAAAACTGGCGAATTGCTCCGCTCGTGTAACGTCTAGTTAGTGTAGATTTCTCAGAGATGAGATATTTTCCTGCAATAAAAAGTATCCTATATGTTATATATATATATATATATATATATATATATATATATATATATATATATATATATATATGCTGGTTACGGGTATAACCAGCTATCACTAGATTCGGCCTGTGTATCGATAATGATGACTATTTCAATAACATTTTCCAAAAATATTTATTATAAAGATTCGACTCGGTTACAGTTGTATTGTATATTCACAGTAAAATATTTACTTATGTAAAATGTCACCTGCCAGATTTCACCAACAACCAATAAGCTACCACCTACGTATAGGATCCCTAGCTTAAAAGTCCCCTAAACTAGCCCCTAAATGAAATTTCGTTTTACCATCGTCTTTAAGCCCATATTTCGAGCACCTTAATTTAGGGGACCTTTTAATATTTAGGTGACCCCTAACTGTCGGTGAAACAGAAACTGTCCCCTAACAGCCCCCTAACCATGCTTAGGGGATCCCTTAAACTTAGGTGACGTTGGTGAAATCGGGCAACCGTCTACTTTACACATTTCTAAAAACGAACGTATTATGCAATACAAAACTTTCCAGTAATGCAGGGAATAAACTGCATCTTGTCTGTCTGGCCGCGAACTTGTTTGGTCACGTCCCCCCATCCCGTCGCTCGCTTACAATAAGCAAGACGACTGCGTACAAGGGGACAGAGCATTTTAGCATTGGAAGCATTATAACCTACCATGGGTTTATGGTGTGCCGAAAATGTTAATACATAAATGTATGTACATCTATACATATGATATGATAAATATTATTGGGAAATCTTATTGAAATGAATCTATAGTTTTTATATGTTGACCCGGATAACCAGCTATCATCATACCAAATTTCATCAAAATCTGTCCAGTGGTTTTCTCGTAATGCGTTTCCAGACAGACAGGCAAAAAAAATCTTAAAACTATAGTTGCTGCGTCTATCGATAATAATGACTATTTCAATAAGATTTTCCAAAAAATATTTAATACAAATTCGACTTAGTTAGAATTTTATTATACTCGTATGTACATATAGATATTTTTCAGCTCTAAGGCTCTATTAGAATGAGCATTTATACGTTCTAAATCCTGGAACTAGTAACTAAAGAGGTTTTACGCGTGTTTTGCTCTTTCATTAAAAAAATAACTATTGTAAGTATATTTTAAGGATTTTTCTTTATTGTTGTAGATTCAGCAAGCAGGTGCCAGCAATATGCATGCATTGGCCCAATCGGCCCAACCACAATTATTAGGTAAGTTATCTTGTAAGATTTTTCTGTTTTTTTTTTTATTTTTTTTTTATTATTATTATATTTTTTTTAATTCTGATTCTTTAACTATAATATAGCGTTACATGCTTTAGAGACAATGATGACGAAAATGCGATGTGCTTTGACAGAATGTCGGTGTTGATACTCGCATGCTGCCTTCCTTCTGATGTCTCTATTAATTATAGAAAAAAAAAATTGTTTCATTTAAAAAATATAATAGTCTGTGTGAATTGTTATATTAAAAAAAATATATTTTTTGAATTTTTTTTATAGACACATTACTTACTGGAATGATTTTGATCTAATAAAATATGTTTTATGGTTTTTTTTAACGAATCGATTGCGATTGGGCCCTAACTAGATGTTACTATAGTAGCTATTGAACTGCCACCATCCTCATTTTGGCTCCATCATCAGACCAGCTCGATTGTATCCAATTATTGTAATATCATCCGTATTTTGCATGATCACCAGGTTTCAAATTGACATGAAAATTTGAATGAATAATTATAAATTAAATAATTAAAAAAACCCCTACGCAAATTAATAAACATTTACGATAACTCTCGCACGCGTGAAGCACTTAATCGAGTAATCATACGCCAAAATGACTTACATCATTTTGGAAAAGAGCCGATACTTTTACACTGCTGGACCGATATTAACCAAACATAGCTAAGAACCATCGCAAGGAAACTGGATTTTGGGTTTGAAAGCTACAATGCCACAGACAGATAGACATCTACGTCAAACATATAACACCCCTTTTTGCGTTGGGGGTTAAAAAGTAGGTTAAAATCGACTTCTAAGAGTCAATTACATAGTTGCTGTTAATAATTTTAGTCAAGTGCGATTCGCTATTGCCACAAAGAAAAAAAAATTGTCATTGAATTGTTATTGAAAACCCTAATGCGAGTTGAACTCGTAATTTGGCAGTGTTTTTGTTTATTTTATAAATATGCCACACGTATTTACTTCAATATTGACACTTAAATGTATGTACCTATAATCGTTTTTACGATAATGCAAAACACAAAGACCAAATCGACTTTGATATTGTGTTAGTCCAGTGGTAACGCGCTTGCTCGGGCAGCCAAGGTTCAAAATCCGGGTTTTTGCACCTCTGATATTCTCGTTTGCAAATCATATTAATCATGATTACCAACCACTTCGACTGTCTGTCTGTCTTACGGTGAAAGAAAACATTTTGCAAACCTAGCAAGTTTCCGGAAGATATGTAAAGGCTGCCAAGTGCCAACCTAGACTATTTGTGCCTAGCATTGGGACTTCAGAAAGCGCTAAAAAAAGATAAAGCTTACAAAAACTCGATTGTTTAGTGTGGAAACCTTTTTGGAATATATTTTCTTTTAATTTTACTGGAAATTGCTATAATTTTTTTTAAGTTTTTTTTTGAGTATTTCAAGTTATTGGTAGCCCAGTGGTAACGCGCTCGCTTGGGAAACCGAGTGATGCGGGTTCAAATCCCGGGTCTCGCACCTCTGATATTTTCATGTGCGAATCATTTCTAGCATGATTACCACTTGTCTTAACGGTCAAGGAAAACATCGTGATGAGACCTGCACGTCTGAGAGAACCTAGCAAGTTTTCGAAAGACATGTTAAGTCCGCCAACCCGCACTTGGCCAGTGTGGTGGACTATGACTAGATCCCTCTCATATTGAAGGGAAAGGCCCGTGCCCAGCAGTGGGACGTTAACAAGGGCTGAATACACAAATATATACATTTCAAGTTATACACCGTCCTTGATTTTTAACCGCAGACGGCGGCTCAGTAATAACACCGACTAAGGAATAATAAAGACAGGGTGTCTTAGAACTAAACAAGAAGCCAAACAACAGTGTTTTAAAATAATATACAAATATATAAAATAGCCCTTGATTCAGATAGTGTATTATAATCTATGTATATGGCAAAATCGAGAATCACGCCGCTATTTTAGACTGCGAAATTTTCTTTGGCGGGCTCCGTTTATATATTTTTTGTACTCTTGAAAGTAATAAATAGGGTCATGTTACCTTTTGACGACATCTATATATAATACTAGCATTGCCCGCGGCTCCGCCCGCGTTCAGATGACCAAAAAGCAAATTCTTAGGTTTTACATAGTAGTACTCACGTTGCAGTTTTTGTATTTTTTCTCAGAAATGAGATATTTTCCCGCGGTAAAGAGTATTCTATATGCTGACCCGGATAACCAGCTGTCATCATACCAAATTTCATCTAAATCCCTCCAGTAGTTTTCCGTGATGCGGTAACAGACAGACAGACAAAAATTCTAAAAACTATAGATTCAGCCTCTGTATCGATAATAATGTCTATTTCAATAAGATTTTCCAAAAAATATTTAATGTACAGATTTGGCTTACTTACAATCTTATTATATGTATAGATAATAAAACTATAGAGGTCGAATTTTTGTACATAAAAAAAGGGTAAAAACCGAGTCAGGGGGGTGTAAGAAGAGAAATGGAACAAATCCAGTTTTTTTTTTTCAATTTATTTCTTTCTTTTTTTGTCCGTTTGTACGGGCTAATCTCCAAAACTTTGGACCGATTTAAATATTTTTTTTCATTATGGTACCTTATATCCCCTTTCAACATTTTAGATACTTTTAATCCCGGAAAAATGAACGGTTCCCGTGGGATAGATCTGTTTTTGCTTTTCGCTAGTTCTTCAATAAATGGTTAGAAAATGTAGAAAAGAATTTGCAAATTTAACGTCCAGAGATAAAGCACGTTTAAAACGAACAAAAAACAATCTCTTCAGTATCGATATTGTGGTTGGCGTCACTCGGGACTCCGGTAAGTGCGTCCACCCACGTACTTTGCTTTAACTAGCGGATATTATGTTTAAAACAAAATGATAGACCGAAATAATTTTATTATGAAGTGAGTTAAATTATTTTTGAAGTTATATTTTATTATTTTAGGCACGTTTGGAAAATATGAGGGTTAAATTTTATGATGTGCGCGCACACCGACAGCCGAATAGCGACATGATGAAGTTAGCTAGCCGCATTCCTTTTACAAACAGATAGTTGTGACATACAGGATGAAATCTTTAATTATTTTTGTTCTGTTACGCCAAAGGATTATATCTGTGCCAAATTTCATCCAGATCTGTTTAGCCGTTCTGGCGTGAAAGAATAACAAACATTCATACTCACAAACTTTCCTATTTATAATATTAGTATAGATACTATATAAATATTGTAAACATATACGATAGAAATTTTATTTGATATTAAATATGTACAACGAACTGTTGGAAGCAATCACTAGGGAACGAGTAAAGGTAGTTCCAACTTTGCACGCACGATGAATATTAAAACGGGTAATGTTCGACCTAAAGTTTACAACAAATCTTTAGGATATTTATTCATTTATATTATTAAGTCATAATAAATATATTATGCTATTAGTTGAATACAATTTTAATAATAATAAAGTGATAATTATCAAGTTATAAATAACTAGCGACTCACCCTAACTTTGCTCGGGTTCGTCCCTAGTTTGATTCCCCATACAAACTTTCATCCCCTTTTTCACCTCCTTAAGGGATGATTTCCGGAATAAAAGTATCATGTCTTTCCCGGGGTCTCAAACTATCTTCTTACCAAATTTAATCTAAATCGGTTCAGTAGATCCAGAGATTACCTCCTACAACGTCACAAACTCACAAACTTTACCTCTTTATAATATTAGTATAAATTATTATGATAAATATCAAAATTGTTTACAAGTTATAATTAGAGATACGTATATGCTGTTTTATATCGTCATAATATTGTCATAATATTGACAGAATGATGCCGAAAGCGAAATCTAAAAATAAATATTAGTACAAATAACACGTGTTATCACTCAGAAAAGCTGCTATAACTAAAAATACCATTTCATAATATCATCCCAACAAAGAGGAAAGCTCGATTCCAAAGTATCCGAGTGTTGTGTGGGCGTGAGGTCACGACTTGGCTGCACTTGCTAACGTTAGCTTAGGTCAGTTTGATAACATTGTGCCAAGTTATTATCTCTGGAATATTACTTGTATATTCTTTACTAGCGACTCAACCCCGCTCCGCTCGTGTTCGTCCCTACTTACGTTTAAACTTTTAGTATAGATTTCATTCATTCATTGCAAGAAAGGATTCCAACACATAGGGATTCGTTTTTTTCTAGTCGGTGTTTTTTTTAAGTTATTAATATTATTATATAGTTAAAGAATCAGAAAGCAATACATCAACAATAACAAAACTCCACAACATAACAATAAGAACACTCGACAGGAGCAACAGCGATGCTGTCGGTTGGCGGCGGCTTCGGTCGCGGGCCCGCGCGCGCCGCCGCGCCCGCCGTCATCAACTATCTCAAGCCTAACGTGCAGTATGCGCCCAAACAGCCGCAAGTGCAGCCCAGGCTTAAGGTAAGACATATAGAATACTATTGATAGCATAAATATATACTAGCAGAACCCGCGGCTTCAAATAAAACTCTAAAATGATAGGTTTCATACAAACTTTAGGAAAATGCTAAAACACGTATTCAATTAAGTGTATTGAAGAGCATTTATACCAAGTTTCAAGTAATTCTGATCATATATATTTTTTTGGATTGTATTATAACGTGTTTCCCCGTGGGAATTAGATAATCTCTCGCGGTAAAAAGTAGCCTATGTCACTCTCCAGCCCTCTAACTATGTCCACACGAAATCACGCAAATCCGCCAAGCCGTATCGACGTGAAAGAAAGCAACAAACACACTTTCACATATTATTATAATATTAGTATGGAAGTATGGATTTGGAAATATTCTCAGAAGAAAATATATACCATTAAGTAATCATTCTATATAATTACTACTTCCCTAAAATTTTAAGTATGGTAATTGATGGGTGGTGTCACATGCCCAAGTATATATATACAATATATATATATATATATATATATATATATATATATATATATATATATATATACTTGTATATAATTATATATTTGCATTATATATTTAATGAATAACAGAAAGGCGGTTAAAATATTTTACCTAATTATGTCCGTTTTCAAACTATTTTTAAAATTGGTTTGAATGTGAATGAACTCTGATGTTTGTTAAACGATCAAAATGATGAAAACAATTACCGTTTGACTACAATGATAATATGTAATGGCTGCTTTTTTTCACTGATTTACACCAAATCTTTCAAACTTATCACTTAAAACAATCCAGGTTTTAAACCCAACCTATTACTCCGTAGCTGGTGAGCCAACAACCCCAGATGGCGATCCCTGGACGCCAGTCCCCGACTCTGGCCTCCCCAATGACGGGCCCACCGGCTCAGTTCCAGCGTCTGAAGGTGGAAGATGCATTGTCTTACCTCGACCAGGTCAAATACAAGTTCAACACTCAGCCCCAAGTGTATAACGACTTCCTGGACATCATGAAGGAGTTCAAGAGTCAGACGTAAGTGTTTTATAAATATCTATTAAATTTTATACTTTATTCTAAATATTATATGTTTGTATGTAAGTTTTTTTAAACAATTAATGAAAGCGAAAATGTTTATTACCAGTTAAAAAAAATGAAGATGATAAAATATATAGATATGTATTTTGATATAAAATAACATTGACAAAAGTTAACCAAAGAGGTTTTAGCTACTGTAGTTATAATAATAATAGTATATTTTATTTCAGTTAATATCAATATTAAAAAATTAATATATATATGTACGTAAAAATGATGATAAAAATTACCGTTTGACCATCCATGATAAGATGTAATGGCTGCTTTTTTTCACTGACCGACTCACACCATGTATGTCCAACGTACAAACATAACCTCATATTGACGTATAGTATTGCTTGCAGGATTGACACGCCGGGTGTCATCACGCGGGTGTCGAACCTGTTCAAAGGGCACCCTGAGCTGATTGTTGGCTTCAACACCTTCTTACCACCCGGATATAAGATTGAAGTTCAGAGTAATGGGCAGGTAGGTTTTTAGATTATTTAAAACAGATTGAATTCGTGTCTCTGTTAAATAAAACCTATATTAAAAATATATATTTAAATTGGATTTGTTTTCTGGATGTTTCAAATGTTTTGCAGCAAACATCATAAGTGGAGAAATAGTAAGCGACAGAAGCAAATGATACTATTATATAGAAGAAAACCAGAATGTTGCATTTAGTAACGAAGAGAATTTTGTTTTTATTTATATAGGTTGGTTGTGAAGTAGCCCTATGAATTCTAGAATTATCTATATTAGAGACAAGCTAGTCACCCTCGCTTTGTTCGGGTTCGTCCGTATTGAAAAACAATAACAAGCTTATCCCACGGGAACTGTACATTTTTCCGGGATAAAAAAGATAGCTTATGTGTTATTCAAGACTATAATCTATCTCTGTGCCAAATTTCAGCCAGATCCGTTCAGCCGTTCTGGGTATAAAAATTATGTTCAATTTTAATTTTTACTTAAAATATGTATGACTAGCGGCTCACCCTCGCTTCGCTCGGGTTCACCTCTAGAAAAGCACAAACAGATATATCCCACGGGAATCGTTCATTTTTCCGGGATGAAAAGTAACCTATTGCTTGACCGGTAATATAAGGTATCAGCATGCCAAATTTTACGAAATTAGGTGCGTAAGTTGTTGTGTACTAAGCTGTATAAGTTACTATAGTTTTTTTGCTATCCCACGGACACTCTTTAATTTTCCGGGATGAAAAGTACCTGATTTGTTTTTGTCATGTATGAAATATATTATTGTAAAGTTTCATTAAAATCCAATCAGTAGTTTTTGTGTACTAAGCTGTATAAGTTGTTTTAGTTTTTTAACTATCCCACGGGAACTCTTTAATTTTCCGGGATGAAAAGTATCTAAGATGTTGCCAGGGGATATAAGGTACCACCATACAAAATTTCATTTAAATCGGTCAAATAGATTCGGAGATTAGCCCGTACAAACAGTAAAACAGACAAACAGCTCGCTCGGGTTCGTCCATACCTATGAATATGTTGTATTATCTCTTTAACCATTTGTCCAAATTATATGCAGTAAAGGGGAAAAGTCTTTTGTTTTAAATATTTTATACGATAAATTTACTTATTTTGATAAGAATTCATAATTGTTGATAATATGACCAATAAACATGACCTACCGATTTAAATTATTTTTTTAATATAAAAAACTACTTTTTGTGACTTAAATATAAAAGTTAGACATATGTTGTCGCTGACTTTTTTGTAGGCATTATTAAGCTCTACAACTTTTCTCTAGAACATAATCATATATCTCTCATCGTTAAGGCAGCGTTCGTAAGAAACGTTTTCGTTCGACCGTTTTTTCTCCGACTTACTTTGCAAATCCGACTACCACGAAAAAGCCTCTTCATTCTTCGGGTTAATATATAGCCTATGACACTCAGAAAGAACGTGGCTTTCTATTGGTAAAAGAATTTTGAAAATCGGTTCAGTAGATCCAGAGATTACCCCCTACAACGTCACAAACTCACAAACTCACAAACCCACAAACTCACAAACTCACAAGATCACAAACTTTACCTCTTTATAATATTAGTATAGATAAAAATAACTGGATTAATATATATAATGTTTTATAATATAATTTCTTAAAAAAATATTTAAAAGATTCAACTTGAACTTTTTTTTAAAACTAATCATACTATGAGCTACTTACTATATATCGGTATTTTTAGTGGTTAAATAAATTGCAGCATTATATCGTGCGTCCATATTGATTTACTGTAGCCTATGTGTTACTTCTGGTCATAGACTATCTGTGTACAAATTACATCGAAACCTGACCAGCCTTTACGGCATGAAGGTGTAACAAACAAACATTCATACACGCATTTATAAGATTAGTCCGATAACAAACGTTTATTCCTAAAAGGTATCGGTGTCCATGCCGTCCCCAACGGGCGCCGGCTGCCCAGTGGGTGGAGTGGGCGTTGGCGGCGTGGGTGTGGGCAGCGTGGGAGTGGGCAACGTGGGCGTGGGCGGTGGCAGTGGCGTGTTACTAGGAGTGCACCACACTCAGCCACAGCCGCAGCTGGTGCACCTGCTGCCTGTTCCTCAGTAAGTTTTTTTTTTTACTTTGTATTATTATTACTTATTGTATGTGGTATAGTATAGCTAGTATCTCGCAGTAAAACTAATATAAATAAATAATAAATACGTTGGGACATTAACACACATCACCATCTAGTTCCTTGGTAAGCTACGAGGCCTGTGTTATGGATACCAGATATATCTTGATTGATTGTTTGTATCTTCTATGATGTCTGATGTCGACCATCACACGGAAGAAGTCGCGGGCAAAAGGTAGTCTAAATTAAAATAAAAAAAAATCACCATGATGAAATTAATTACCGATTGATCGTAATGATAAAAACTTGCGGCTGCTCTTTATGAGTTCTGATTTTCTTCACCTCCATTAACGTATTTTTTTATTATACACAAAATACTAATAATAAAACATTCTGTAGGTCTGTCAGTACAGCGATAGTGCACAACCTGTCCGTCAGTGCCAGTCCGGCCAACACATTGCATCATATATCTCAAGCGCATCAGCAAATTGAAGCCGGTGCCATACATCATCCACCGGGTAAGTGGATTTGTTTTGGAAATATTCATTTTAATTTTTTTTAAATGATCCTTATTTTGGAACGTTTGGAAAAAATTATGAGAGTAAAATTTGTACGATTTGTACCGACAGCCAAAAACAGACATGATGAAGTTAGCTGCACTCCCTTTACAAACAGAGAGTTGTGACATACGGGATGAAATCTTTGGCTATTTTTGTTCTGTTACGCCAAAGAAGTATAACTTCTTATGTGCGTACATACAGTACATGCACACACGTTTTTTTATTTAATTAGGCCAGTATTGGTATTTTTTGTATTTGTAAAAATTTTTTTGTACAGTAATTGGACAATATAAATTTGTTTTTTGTTGTAGAAGCAAATTTCCACGTAATAAATATTATTTTAAACTTGAAATTTGGCAGGTAGACTCCTCATGAGTCAATAGTGTTTTTAATTTTGTGTTGTGTTTTTAAGTTTGTGTTTTAAATTGAACTCTTGTACATGGTTATGAATGGGGTTGAAAGTTGGTTTGAATCTTTTTATTTTTAAACTAAGCGGGCAGAGACACGCGTAATCGCTAGTATATTATATATCAATTGTTCTTATTGCATCCTCATATATGTGTTATCTACTTTGTATTATTGTACAGTGTAGTCGAACACTGGATAAGTGAAAAGTTCAAGGGATCGCGATCTCTATTCTCGCTTAAGCCGCGTTGACACGATCAAAGTCTGCTTTGACAATGTAGTTTTGATGACTACTTTGATAGTGTAAACGAGCTATCAAAGATCACGTTGACGTCGGCGTTCAATAGGGATGGGCAAGTGAAAAAAATATATCGATATTTTAATCTATACTAATATTATAAAGAGGTAAAGTTTGTGAGTTTGTGACGTTGTAGGGGGTAATCTCTGGATCTACTGAACCGGTTTAGATGAAATTTGGTAAGAAGATAGTTTGAGACCCTGGGAAGGAGAAAGGATAGTTTTTATCCCGGAAATCATCGCTTAAGTGTGTGAAAATGGTGATGAAAGTGTTTATGCGGAATCAACTTGGGGCCGAAGTATATCGATATTTTTTGCCCAATCCTAGCGTTCAATCAAAGTGGACATGGCGCCATGTTGCACTATGTAAGTAGGTGTCAACCGTTATCAAAGTGTACTTACGGTACAAAGCTTTTTGTCAAAGCAGACGTTGGGAGTGTCAACAGGTATCCAAGTAAACTTTGATCAAAGCTACTTTGTCAAACTAGACTTAGAGCGTGTCAACGCGGCTTTATGGAGATCTCTCACTAAGCTGAGTTTCATTCGGCTTCTCTCATTTATAGAGGTTTCAAAAAAATGCAACAAATGTGTAGTAGTGATAAAAGGAGGGATGAAATGTTTGTGTGTGTGTAGTGTAGTGATGGAGATCTATGTAGATGTAAGGGAGAGATAGAGGGGGACAGAAGAAAACATGGATAGATTGTGAGACAGGAGATGCAAGAGAAAGGGATGGATGATGAAGGTGACGAGAAATAGGGGAGTGGAAGGGTAAGTGATAAACATGTATGTACATATAACGAACTAGCAGATTCCGCGGCTTCGCTCGCGCTTAAAATACAAAAAAAAAACTTTGGCTTTATGCTATTAGTAATAATGTATGAAAGTCTGCCCGATTTCTTGACATTTATGATCATTGCTGCGCTCCCTCGGGTAGTAGCGTGACGGTATACAGCCTAAAGCCATAAACGTGCTATCTAATGCAATATTTTTTCAAATCGGTATTAGATAAAACGTTGTTCCTGAGATTAGCACGTTCAAACTTCAGATTAGCAGGTTCGTCCCTAGTGAAAATTTTGGTTTTATGTATTTTACAATGCCGAATCATAAAAAAAATCAATTAAAAATTTTATTAAAAAAAAAAATTTTTTTTGGGATGGACCACCCTTATCACATAGGTTATGAAAAATAGTTTTATGACTGAACTGAATATACACACAAAATTTTATAAGAATCGGTTCAGCCGTTTCGGAGGGATTTTTGTTACAAACACTGTGACATGAGAATTTTATATATTAGATTAAGATTATTAATGTGATTCCCATAGGCACAGCCCCCAACAGCGGCGCATCGCACGCGGGCGCGGCTGCCGGCCAGCCCGTGGAGTTCAATCACGCTATTGAATACGTGAACAAAATTAAGGTAAATAATTAAATATAATTTATACAAATAGAACTTTTGCTAGAGCTTTTGAATTCTCAATATTATATATATTTAATTTCAATTAAATGTCATTATGTAAGTCAGTTCTACATATTATCTTGCTTACCACACATTTAGATGCAGCTCTTATTGTTGCATTATAATGCATACAACCGGATGACTATATATATATATATATATATATATATATATATATATATATATATATATATATATATATGAGCGACTCACCCACGCTTCGCTCGTGTTCGTTCCTAGATGGCTCTTTAAATTGACATAAAATCGTAATTTATTAACCGATTGAAATACTAAATGTTAAGTGAAGCTTACCGTAATATATTAGTAAAAACCGTACCCAAGTTGGTTAAGCCCTTTCTGAGATTAGCGCGCACAAACGCACAGACAAACAGACATAAATTGTAAGAATTATTGTTTTGAGTTCTATTGCGTAAATAAAGACTTCCTAATAATAGTTTTTATTAAATATTTTCCATGTACAGACAGCGATCAGTTACAATTTTATTATATGTATAGATTTTTTATGTATGTTGTTATAAAATGAGCAGTTGTTGATATGTCCATTGTTCATTTCGGCCAACAGTCGCGGTTCTCCCGGCAGCCGGACAAGTACAAGCGCTTCCTGGAGATCCTGCACGCGTACCAGCGCGGCCATCGCGACGTCAAGGAGCCGCAAGCCAAGCAGCAGACCGAGCAGGAGGTCTACTCGCAGGTACGCACGCACGAACCGACGGACATACACACAACACACACACACACACACACACATACATATACATATAGGTTTAATTCAGAAGCAATAAAGATGATAAAAAAATATATTTCACCTTTATTTAAATCACACGCAATATTCCTTATTTCACCATACATATTGTATGGAAATGACTAAATTAATGAAGGTATCAAAAATTACTACAAATTTACTAATACAATTATACACTATGTAAAGAATTAATCTGGTCTTCAGGACTATAATAATTGTTGTTTTTTTTTTATAATGGCTTATAGTTGCGTTAACAAGACGCAATCCATTCTGCCAGTGTCACGTTTTGTGAGGAAGACACGAATGAGATTGAGCGGCAATTTTGAAATTTGGTAACTTTATTGTGGAATTAAAACTATAAATGAATGATCGGTCTATTGTTGATTTTTACAAGTTGCAAGAATCAAATTCGTCAATCTTTTCGGATTGTTTCGGCGAATTTATTTTGATATTTGTTCCCGATGTTTCGAATGTTTCACAGCAAATATTGTTAGTTGAGACTTCCCTTAAAATTATCCATATAATCCACGAAAGTATAATTGGTTAATGGTGTGCAACTATGTTTGGTGTGCCAACCGCCAGGTGGCCAAGCTGTTCGAGAACCAGGATGACCTGCTAGCGGAGTTCGGGCAGTTCCTGCCGGACGCCAAGGCGGTGACCAAGCCCGTGCACGCACCGCCGCACCCGCGCACGCCGCCGCCCCCGCCGCAGGTAAACTTGAACTATTCATTCATACACAATCTTCATTTTGATAATAGTTAAATTGATTGTGTTGTAGTTGAAATACTTTGTTTGACTTGGAAGAACAAATTATAAATGAAAAAATATTTATAGCGCCAAAAATATAACTTAATTTATTTAATGTGATGAATGAATGCACAACAACAGTCAACATATCGACAGACAACCTTTTATTTAACTCTCGGACGGAACTCGGAATTCGTGTGACACTTCTACGGAACACTAGCGTTTTAATAGAGTGTGGTACATAACTATGTGTGGTGTGTGCGCAGCCCCGGCCGGAGGCGGAGCCGGAGCGCTTCCCCGCCGCGCCCGCGTCGCCACCCCACGCGCCGCCTCACGCGCAGCACGCGCCTCACGCGCCTCACGTGCCCCACGCACCTCACGTGCCTCACGCACCGCTGCCGCCGCCGCCCGCGCACCACCACGCGCAGGTATGTTACATACATAAATATGTATGTATGTATATATAATATACACATACATGTGAATGGCGAAATATGAGAATATATATTAGAAATAGAGTTGCAACGAATATTCGGCTATTATTCGGTATTCGGCTACTTTTTTCCTATTCGGACGAATACCGAATACTTCGTATGTTTTGTTGTAATCACATAATTGGTAAAATGACTATATTGATTTATTTTATAATAATATTTTTTATTTATAAATTATAATCATTAAAGTTGTCATAGGTACATAATCAAGTTCTGTATTACAAAAGTTTACCAAAAACACTATCAAATGAATGTCTATGACGCACTTGCATTATCATGATTAAATTTTAAAAGTGACAATCCCAGCTTCAGAGAAAATACGCACTGAATAAATACTACCTCTTGGCGCCAAACAAAGTGACAAACACGTCGATAAAAGTTTTCGAGCCACAAGTTTTACTCTCAGCAAATATTTTTGCCTAATATTCGGCTATTCGGCCAAAAAGCCCACCGAATATTCGGCATATGGCCGAATATACTATTCGTTACAAGTACAGATATAATTTTATTCTAAAGAGTTACGTCCGAAGTGCAGAAGACCAGACGACTACAACTATGTATTATATTAGCACGGCATAAACATCCCATACCACTCCCATTTGTTGGGCTAATTTGTTATGTCTAATAGTTGTGTAGTTTGAACTTTTTTTATTATATGAATCTGAATAAGAGTGTGTGCACTAAAGTGTGTAAAATATAGTTTAATTGAAAAACTACACAAATTAAGTTTTATTACCACCACATATTCATATATTATTGACATTTTTAATTGTAAATGATTTATGTATGTGTAATATGTTTGTTTGTTGATAGCCACTTCCAAAGCACACAGCACCAGCCCCTGCTCCGCCTCAGCATCATCATCTCAAGAGGTCACCCAGCTTTGGATCATCCACACAGCTTGGTAAGTTGCTGTCTTAGCTCTATTTCCTTAAACTATAGGGCATTTTAAATTATACCCATCTAGGATTTCCAGCTATCGTTATACCAAATTTGATCAAAATTTGTCTAGGGGTTTTAGTGATGCGTTCCCAGGCAGACAGACACAAATTCAAAAAACTATAGATTCGGCCATTGTATCGATAATAATTACTATTTCAATAAGAGTTGTAATATGTTATGGTGTGAGTTTGAGTTGTATGTTACGGTGCAACTGTAACTGTAACATATGACAACTCAGAATTTTACTCAACACAGGTCTATATCATTTTCATTATCATTTTATTAATAAGTATACAGACAGTAAATATTATCAAGTGTTAATTGCAAAAGTTTTTTATTTTAACAATCTAACAGTTATTAGTTAACAAGAACCGATACAAAAGTATTAAGTATTAAATAATGTCCCAACAGCAGCCGGAGCACCGCCGGCTAAGAAGCCGCGCGCGACCGCATCACCTGCGCCACCGCTGCGCGATGTGTCGGTGGCCGAAGCCGCCAAGTTGGCCACAGCCAGCGATTACAACTTCTTCGACAGGGTGCGCAAGGCGCTCCGCTCTCAGCACGTCTACGAGAACTTTCTTAGGTTAGTAATACGTATGGCTGTCAGTCAGATAACAGTCGTTGATTTACTCGACAAATAAACCTCAAAATACCCGGCTTATTATATATGGTCTCCGGCGCCAACCATGAGCGGAATACCTGAAAATAGGTTTTTTTTTTAAAGTAATTTATTCATGTCTTATGTTTTATATAGAATAATAGTAAAAGAAGTCATTGTAATCAGTTCTCAATCGAACAGCTTTAAATTATTAAATCAAATTAAAAATCTTAAAATGTCAAATGAATCAGCTGTTCTTAAATACCTAATTTCTACTAAAATACTCGCCATCAAAAATCGCCTAAAATTATCCGCTTTTCGGGTAATTTATTTTCGCCGCCAATTGGCAGGGCTGGTAATAGGTGTGTTTCAACTACGGTGGTCAATTTCACTGAGACTGGCCTGCGCAGGATATTGTATAGTATAGTGCAGACACAACGCACTCTATTCCTACCACTCTAATACTGCGATGGTAAAGACACGAGATACGACCGGTGAGAGTTAAGGCGTCGGTCGTTGGTCTGTCGGATATGTAACTTTACATATAATATGGGTTCTAGATACATTACAAGAAACAAAATGTAGTTGATTTATTTCAAAAGCTAAAATTAATGAAATTTTATTGAGCATATAATATAATGTAGTAAACATGAAATTTTAAAATAACCATATTTTAATTGTGACATTAAATGAATTATTTTATTTTAATATATAAATCGTATCACCTAGATGCCTCCTGCTGTTCACAAACGAGATCATATCATCGTCAGAGCTGCTCTGCGTGACGGAGCCCTTCCTCTATCGTCACCCGGACCTGAAGAAGTGGCTCCAAGAATTTGTGGGGCCTGTGTCCCCTCCGCACACTCCCACTGCCACTCACACTGGTTTGTACTGTTTGTTAAATATTTATTTATTATTTATAACGGATCTCTAACAGTATACCTATTTTACACTAGCAACTCACCTTCACTTCGATCGGGTTAATCGGTTCAGTAGATACAGAGATTACTCCCTACAATGTCACAAACTTACAAACTTTTATCTCTTTATTAGTATAGATTTACAATATACTTAAATCTAATTTAATAATCATTTATATAATTTGATTTAATAAATATAGTTGTAGCCCTTGAATGAACGCTCGTTTGAATGCTTGAGCAACTTTGAGGGTTGCATTTAAGGTTCAATTTACACGTACGTTTTAATTACTTAAACACAATTGGTCACAGCTTTAAGAGAACTTTTGCATGTCATTGTGTATCTAGTAACTTTTTTATACATAAAAATATATGTTGTCGTCCCGCCAGGCTACAACAACTTCGGTAGCTCTAGCGGGCTTCTGGGCTACGAGCGGTCGCGGCTGTCGTCCGACAGCAAGCGGTACGAGCCGCTCGCGTCGCTGGCCGCTCAGCTGCGCCACGACCGGCCTCAGGGCGATACCGCCATGGATATAGGTACGTACATACACACAAGCGGCCTAACCACGTACACCTATGTGTATTCAGCCCTTTTTAACGTCCCACTGCTGGGCACACGGGCCTCCCTTCAGTATGAGGTGGATCAGGCCATATATATAGCTTTTTGTTAATAGAAATTGTACCTTATTCATCGAAGAGCCATAATATTTTTCTTTTTTTATTCAAGAATATTAATTTTGCACAGATCTGTCGACGTGCAAAAGGCTAGGCACGTCTTACTGCGCGCTGCCGCGGGAAGCGGCCTCGCGGCGTTGCTCGGGCCGGACGCAGCTGTGCAAGGAGGTGAGCATTTGTTATATGACATAATATACATAATTATGTACTTTATATTTTGTCAGTCTGTATTTGTATGACTCTCGTTTTGTTTAGGAGTGTGTATAGAGAACTTAACTATGAAAATATGGCTAAGATACATTTATAAATAACTAGCAACTCATCCTTGCTGCGCTTCGGGTTCTTCCCTAGTGAAAAACAAAAACAAAACTATCCCACTAAAACCCTACATTCCAGACTATAATCTATCTCTATAACAATTTCACCCAGATCTGCTCAGACGTTCTGCGCGATTGGGAAACAAACATTCATCTATCCTCACTAACTTTCACATATATAATATTAGTATGAATGTTTATATTGTTTTCGGTCACGGAATATTATTCATTGTCTCCTTTTTAATTAAAAGGTTGGTCAGACATAAAATATTTTAGATCAGTTTGGTAGTTTTCATGGTCAACATATTAGAACAACTTCAAGGTAGATTGCTTATTAGTATCAACTAAAACTAAAATATTTAATTCTGAACAGGTACTGAACGACACATGGGTGTCGTTCCCGACGTGGAGTGAGGACTCCACGTTCGTGTCGTCTCGGAAGACGCAATTTGAAGAGTATATCTATCGATGTGAAGATGAGCGTTTTGAGGTATGTTGAAATTATATGTTGATATTAAGTTATATATTATTATATTTTATATTATCTATATATAAATTAAAAAAAATATTTATACAGAAACTAGATGTTAAACTTACGATCCACTTTTCAGTTTATAACATATGTAAAATGTATGTTTACCAAAATTTGGAGATTATGATGACGAAAATGCGATGTGCTTTGACAGAATGTCAGTGTTGATACTCGCATGCTGCCTTCCTTCTGATGTCTCTATATATACACAAAATATTATATTTGTCTTTGTTCAGTTTTATTTGTATGTGTGTTTGAGTATATATATATTTAATAAACAATAATGTCCCGTCAGCTGGACGTGGTGATAGAGACGAACGCGGCTACCATCCGCGTGCTTGAGGGCGTGCAGAAGAAGCTGACTCGTATGACTGCGGAGGACGCGGCCAAGTATCGTCTCGACGACTGTCTCGGCGGCAACTCGCCAACCATTCACCAGCGCGCGCTGCGCCGCATCTACGGCGACAAGGTGGTACGGCGCCCGCAACGCTCTTGGCATGCACCAACCCATCACACTACCACTACCACTACCACACACCGTCACATAACACCACACAGTACTACAGACCGCTACATAACACACCACCACTACCACACGCCACAACTACCACGTACCATCACATAACACCACACACTACTAAAGTCAATCGATCAATCAGCCTATCGCCGTCCAATGCTGAACAAAGGTCTCAATGAGCGTCAACCAACCCGGTCCTGGGCAGCCCGCATCCATCCTCTGCCAGCCAACATTCTTAGGTCATCTGTTCATCGTGCTGCACTACTACAGACCACCACATAACACTACACCACTATACACCATGACTACCATACACCACTACACACAGCACATCACTCTGTCAGCATCCACACTACACGCAAGACACATTTTTTATATATACATTGTTTGTACAGGATTATCTTACCTTCTTTATAGATTCTTTATAGAAAGACACTCGGTCGCTCGCTTATAAATTACGAAATCCTAAAAAGCATAAATGCTTACAAACTTGAATTTTGGCTAGTTCCTTCGTCTTAGGAAGTAGATTTCTTACAGTGAGTAGTTTGCTGACAATTGATAATTTAAATTATGGGGTATTTTCATATGTAGTTGTCGAAATTAATACTATACTGACCGACACAAGACATACAAAATTGACATGACGTATTATTAGAATCGTAAGGTGTTAATAATAATGAAAATAGTATCAAAATGTTATAAAATTGGTAGACGTCATACATTCTGTTTGTGTGACACATACATTTTCAATAATATGTATGACGAACGAATTGCGATCACGATACATTTATTATATATTTATTATATTACATTGTTTATAAACAAAGTTGACTCAATTTTACATAATTTATAGTACCTGGGCGACCGAGTTTCGCTCGAAGTTTCTTTTTTGTTATATCGTATTTTTTAGATAAAAAAGAACTAAAAACTTGAATAAATAAAAAAAAACAAAAATAAAAACTTTGTATCCAACCGGAATTCGAACCCGGGCACCTGTGATTGTCAATCTTTCTTGCGCCTTGGTCGCTTGACCACGATATTGCGTGGAATAATGCGAAAGAAAATCGCATGAAAACTCGAAAACACGCGTTTTCAAAGATATAAAGACTGATCTTCATCGATTTTTCGCCCCCGAAAACCCCCACATATCAAATTTCAGCGAAATCGTTTGAGCCGTTTCCGAGATTGTCGGTATATATAAATATACTAAAATTGCTCGTTTAAATATATTAGATAGATATAAACAAACAAATACAAACACAAGTTACAAGCATGCTGTAGTATTTGAAGGGCTATTTATATGATTATTTAACTAATTTATGCATTGTTTAATTTATTTATTATTGGTGAAGAGGTTTTTTTTGTAGTTAGATTGAATTGTAGTTTTTGTTTTTTTAGTATCTTTTTATTGCTATTTTTTTTGGTAGTAATGAGTAGTTAGTAGTTTTCAGTTGTTTTTGTATAATCTGTAATAAAAAAAAATACAATATAATATATTTTTACAGGCTGTTGACATCATAGCTGGTTTGAAGAAGAACCCAGTAGTAGCTGTACCAGTTGTATTGCGAAGGTTAAAGGCTAAGGAAGAAGAGTGGAGAGAGGCCCAGAAGGTAACAAATTAGTGCTATTTTATTTATTGATGAAATTGGTGTTTAGGTTTTAATAATAAAATTTAGAGACAATGATGACGAAAATGCGATGTGCTTTGACAGAATGTCGGTGTTGATACTCGCATGCTGCCTTCCTTCTGATGTCTCTATTGAGTTTACAATTTTTTTTATACGAACACGTCTTTTTGACTTAAAATATTCATCGCCTTTACAATCATATTAAAAGTAATTTATAGGGTTCAGTTTGAAATATTTATTAAAAATTTTGTTTGCTATTTCAAGGGTTTTAATTTTTTTGCACGGAACCCTTATACTTTTTCTAAAAGTAGACCAAGTTATTCCTTATAACATCTGCTATCTGCCAGTGAAAGTCCTGTCAAAATCTGTACACAGACAGACTAAAAACATTTTAAAATTGTTTTTTTTTTATGAGTACCGTATATAATTTCATACGCATTTGGTAAAAAGCTGTTATTTTGAAATTACAAACAGACATTTAAATTTTATTAAAAACAATAAAAAAAAACTTAATATTTTAAGGTCGGCAACATAGTAAATACTATAATTGTGTGTCCTAACAGGGCTTCAACAAACAATGGCGGGAGCAAAACGAGAAGTATTACCTGAAGTCCCTCGACCACCAGGGCATCAACTTCAAGCAGAACGACCTGAAGGCGCTTCGCACCAAGTGTCTGTTCAACGAGGTGGAGAGCGCGTACGCGGCGCGCCGCCCCGGCCCGCACCTGGTGGCGGACTACGGCCTACGGGCGAGACACGAGGGTTGGTATATCTACATATATTATAAATAAATAAAAAAAAACGTGTGTGTACTTATGTACGCACGTAAGACGTTATACTTGTTCGGCGTGACAGACAAAAATACCTAAAGATTTCATCTCGTGTGTCACAACTCTCTAGTTTGTAAATGGAATGCAAACTGACTTCATCGTGTCGCTTTTTGGCTGTCTACCGGTGTGCGTGCGCGCATCGTAATAATTTTACCCTCATAATTTGTTCCAAAAATTTCCAAAAGAAGTATAACTTCAAAAATATGTAGGTATTTTTACAATGGTGTGTGTATAGCATGCGCGCGCGCGCACAAAGGAGTCGAAAGTTATCAATGGGAATGATGGCATGACAGCGTCACACCACGAGTCGGGTTTACTGCCAAGGCGCGCTTCATATCAAAAAAATTGTGTCTGTCTGTTGGAGCGCGATAAACACAAACTTCCAAACAGATTTTCAAACAGTTTTCACCAATGGATGGAGTGATTCATGATACAACGTACAATGTTACAGTTGGCTGCGAATGTGCTTGTTTTTGTTTCTTCTTTTTTTTTCGTTCTTTTTTACTTTATTTCTTTATAGTTTTAAAAATGAATGTTTTCTGTCTTTTTATTCAATCTTTAATGAATTTGTATCCAAAAAAGGTTTTTTTTTTCTTTTTTATAATTTAAAGAATTAAGTTTAGTGTTAGTATACTGTGTACTTATTACAGCTACTATTACTATTAAGCAATTAATGATGAATCATATGCGATGTGCTTAAACAAACTATGTCGATACACGCATGCTGCCTTCCTTCTGACGAACATATACAATAAAACATACACACATACACACAAACATACATCCATACACACAAACATACATACATACATGAATGCTAGTGATGTAACATGTGGTCGATTTTTCACAGCTGCGAATGCTAATGCGAATATTAATTTCTAATATCGCGATTGCGAATGCGAATGTTGACTTATTTTAATTTATTTAATTTTAGTTTATATTTTTTTTTGTTAAGTATTCACTATTTTGTTTTTTTTTTGAGTTTATACTTTATTATTTTTAATTGTTAGAAAAAAATATACATTAGAATGAAATTAATGAAGCCACAGATTATATAACATTTTGGATATTTATCAATTTTTGTTTCTTTTTTAACAAAAGATATTAAAATTTAGAATTTGAATTCACCTCACGGTGAGGGCTGAATAAGTGATAAATGGTGGAGGGTATTGGCATTTAAGCGAATACAGGCTGAAAATAATTGATGCCTTAATAAAATACACCCTGACATTGCAAATATTTTTGAATAACAATAAAAATGATCAATTCTAATAAAAAAAATATATGGCGAAGTAATATCTGAAATTGCAAGTCTTACACGTTTCTGCATATTGGTATTTCAGTCTTTGTTAATAAAACTTATATTCCTATGAAATTTTTGATCAGACGAACAAAAGTTTCTTCTCAAACGATAAGATTCAGGAAAATATTATGTAGACATTATGTAATCCCGCAATCAATTCTGAGATCTCGGGGCATGTCCATATTAACATTTTCAATTCCTTATAGGTTCATATGATTTCCCTTTTCGTTTATCAAATTTATTTTTCTTTTTCTACGTTTTTTGCGAATGCGAATATCAAAAAATATGCGAATATTCGCAAATGCGAATTCGAATGCTTAATATTCGTTACATCACTAATACATACAATTATATTAACAGAAAATCTCATTTCCATAGCAATCAAGATAGTGAGAGATGCTGCAGAGCTGCTCATACATCACGCACGACGGCAAACTGGTATTCAAAAAGCTGAGAAACGTCGCATAAAGCAATTGTTGAGGCATTTCTTGCCAGATCTGTTTGCACACCCTCGACAACCTTTGTCTGATGATGAGAGGGATGAAGGTTTGTTTAATTAATTACTATGTTCTAAAAATAGTGCGTGTGTGTGCAATTCACACACGGTAGATGTGAAACTTCAGAAAAGTAACCTACGAGAGAATGAGATGAACATATAGCTATCAGGAGTAGGATAATTGTAAGGTTTAGTTTTTATTTTATTTTTACCAAGTTGAAAAGTTATTTTACATTTTATTTGACATTTAAATTCAAAATATTTATTCAGCATTAAATTATTACAATTTTTTACTGAATGTCACGAGTCTACTACCAGTTCGGAAAGAAGAACCCTCAGACCTGAAAAGAACTGGCTAAAGAATACAACATAAATATACAATAACAACATGGCAATGTATTCTATCTCATTCTCTTGCCGGCTTAACCCTATATATTTATCTCTTTTTAATTTTTAATGTCGCATTTCCGTTGTATTACCGTTTTGGGTCTCAAATCACAATGATTCTAAAGAACTTTCACTTCAATAACAAATAATAATATATGCAGACTCAAATATAATATATTCTTATCTTTTCTTACATTACATAAAACTCGTATAATTTTTTATTTTTAATATGAAGGTACATTAAATATTAATTAATACAATTTGCTTCAGAAGAAAAGGAAGAGCCCACAAGTCCCGGCAGTCCCCCGGCCGACGCGGCGGCCGACGACAAGAGTGGTGGTGTGAAACAGGAGAAACAGGAGGTAGTGTAAATGCTTATAAAGTTATACTTATGGACTTTTAAAGTAAGGAGGAGGGTTGATATGGGCCATTTTCCGCCCATCACAATCTCAAAAAAAAAAGTTTCGATTTCCGGCTATTTTTATATATTTATGTATAGTTGAAGACATATATTTTTTAATTCATAATCATTTAAGTGATAAATATTATACTAAGTTACAGATATCATTGTTCAAAAACAGGGTGTTTCGCCTTTTTTGTATATTTTTGTCGTTTTTTTTATCTTTAAATTATAATTTTATAATGAAGCGCTCCATGAACCACAAAAACTTTGACTCACATTGATACTACTCTTTATGAGCTTGTAAATGAGTACTATTTTATTTTGGTTCATTGTGCGCTTCACACAATAAGAAAAAAATATGTTACGCGCGAAAGTATTCAGTGCGTTGCGAGAACAAGTTCATACGTGATTTATATTGCGCTCAAAAAGTATTGTTAGTAATGAATGTTAAATAAGACTACAGAGATTCAGCAATTCCTCTTTACTTCGATCACTTAACAGGAATCCTTACAAAATGGCAATTACAACTATTTATACATCATTTCCCCACCGTTGGGTGTAAGGTGGCGGCATCTGTCTTCTACGTATAACATTTCCCAACGGTGGATGACAATACTCTTAAAACATTAATATTACAAATACAACTAACCGATATCGTTATTAATATTATAAAATTGTAAATAATACATTATAAATAATCAATATCAAATTAATACAATAAAATATAAAATTATAACTAACAAATTATGAAGAATCAATATGATCCTTAAATAATAAACAATAATAGTCAATTGAGCAACTATAACTAACAGTATTTACGTAGTGTGCTATCGAAATAGTGTTTTGCGGTTGTTGTTGCGATTGTTTGTTGTAAAACTTAATAGATAATAATGCCTGGAAGACAGTGTGATTGTTGTAAAACGTGGCAAAAAACAAATAGTGCTTTTCGTACCTGTTCTAATACAAAAATCTTATCGATACTTAGAAATTCTAAAAATTGTGATCTACAGAGTGGTTCTAAGTTGTGTTCGAAATGCAGATCATACGCATTCCGTGTGGTTCGAGCTCAAAATATTCCTATTTCATCTTCCATAGTGACAACAAGAGTTCATGCTTCAACAAGTACTGCCGACGACACCTCGAAGAGACCAAATATATATTTATCAATACCTCGTTGTCACAACTCTAATACGTGCTGTATAATATGTAAACGTAAAAGCTACCTCATGACTGTACCGAAAGCAGCTCGAACTCAAGCATTTATCGAAACTGGAATATATATTTCTTCGGGAAAAAGATGTTGTAAAACTCATATTACCGGATTGATATTCAGTGAATTGGCTTTGCAAGTTTTACGCCCTGTAAGTGAGAATACATTAATGTGTGAAAAAGATATAAAAAGTCTTTTAAACAATATTAGAGAAGTAGCAAAGAAAAAAGGCCTTGATTTTGACACACCAGGACAGCTTTCCGAGTCTGATTATTATACTCTCATGGGCATAACCATGTCTGATTTTAATTACATTTTTGAACAAATAAGGCCCAAAATTCGTTCCTTGAAAACAAGGTCATCTCGTACTTGCTTGGCAGTATTACTTGTAAAACTTAGAAGTGGTGTCTCTAATGGTATACTATCCACATTATTCAATAAGAAAAAAAGATTAATATCATCTGCTGTTCAAAGTGTACGCCGGGCTTTGATTGAGAACTTTGTGCCATTACACCTTGGAACGAAACACGTAACGAGAACACAAGTTATTGAGAAATATACGAGACCTTTAGCAAAAAGATTATTTATTCCCGACGATAACGATGATGCAACGATACTTGTCGCTGATGGCACGTACATTTATATACAGAAGAGCGCGAATTATTCCTTTCAGAGACGATCTTTTTCATTACACAAAGGAAGACCTTTGGTTAAACCTATGATGTTAGTCACTACTTCAGGTTACATTCTTGACGTCTTTAGACCTTATTTGGCTGATTCAAAGAACAATGATGCGAACATATTCACACATGTTTTAAAAAAAGATGCACACAATATCACAGAGTGGCTGAAGCAAAATGATGTAATAATTGTTGATAGAGGCTTTCGTGATTGTTTGGAACTCCTGGAAGAAATGGGCCTCGTACCTGAAATGCCTAGATTTCTAAACAAGCAGCAACAGTTTTCAACAGAGGAGGCTAACATGACGCGTCTTGTAACCAAAGTTAGATGGGTCGTTGAAGCTGTTAACGGGCAGTTGAAAAACTGGAGAGCATTAGATAAAGTAATGCCAAACACGCAAATACCTTATATTGGCGACTACGTGCGAATTGTATGTGCTATCCTCAACGCATTTCATCCTACAAGAATTAAAAACACTGAAGATGATGAAATAATCGCTCAACGAATGCTTGATTTGGCTAAAAACCCAAACCACTTACAGCAGATAATCGAAGAAAAAGGATGGGCCAGAAAAAAAGCAATCTGGACCAAGCTAACTGATAGAGATCTTCAAGATTTTCCACGTCTAACTTGGGATGAGTTGCGACAATTAACACTTGGCATATATCAACTTAAACAAAGCCAATCGTACACTCAAGAGCATTTAAATGAAGAAGGTTTTTATTCTTTTTACATACATCGTGAAAATGATTCTGTTGTTAGAGTACAGTTACGATCACGGCACACAAGTTCCAAAAACTATAATGTTTGGATAAAAACAGATAAAAGCAACATCACAAACATTCAATGGTACTGTCAATGTAAAGTGGGTGCAAGAGTCGTAGGGTGTTGCGCACATGTTGCCTCTGTATTATGGTTTTTAGGTTATTGGCGCCACAATTCAACCGAAATCAAGAAACCAAGAGATGAATATGCCTATACACTACAAGACGCTGCCGCTGAAGGATGGTCCAGTAGTGATTCAGATGAAGAAACCAATAAGGAAAACTAAAAAAACATACATGCTCAATGTGCCTGAAACTTTCTAATTATTTCTGATTATTGATTATTTTTCATATTTCAAATATTGCAATAATAGTAAAAATAAACCTTTTTCATTGTAATCTTGCATTTACAACTCATTTTTTGTGTTAGAATGTACAGTAGCAATGGTTATATTAATAAATGTTCATAATAACCTTATAATTATTTGTTTTATTTATCCCATTAATTAAAGAAGTTTCATTAAAAATAATTGTTTTCTACACTTGCCATGAGATATACTATTAAATAAAATAAATTTCAAATCGAGCGGCTGATGGGCGAAAAATGGCCTTTATCAACCCTCCTCCTTTATAAACTTTGCAAAGGTTTTATTTAATGTGTTTAACCATAAAATTGAAATTGATTAGTGTTTTTATATTATTACTAGCGACTCACCCTCGCTCCGCTCGGCTCGGTTCGTCCCGTTGGGGTGGGGTCTGCGAGGACCACCCTTATCCTTATCACTTAGGGGTATGGAAAATAGATAGTAGCCGATTCTCAGACCTACTGAATACGCATATAAAATTTGGTAAAAATCGGTAAAGCCGTTTCGGAGGAGTACGGTAACAAACATTGTGACATGGAAATTTTATATATAAGAAGATTTATGTAATAATAATTGTTGAGGAACAATTTGAATACGAAACATAAATATACATATGTTGTATATTTATTTAGAATTTTATGTGTATTTTTGTTTTTAATGAAAATGTTTTTTTTTGTACACAGTCATCGGAATCGGATAATGCGTCAGACAAAAGCAGTCGGAACAACAAGAACGACAAAGAAAACAAACCCAAAAACCACAACACCACTAATGATAGTGGCAAAGGTGTGTATTTATGTACTACTGACAAAAACATTATGTCCCACGGGAACCATACATTTTTCTATCTCAGTGTCAAATTTTGACCAGCAATATAAGGTATCAACATGCCAAATTTTACTAAATTAGGTGCATAAGTTGTCGTGTACTATGCTGTGTAAGTTACTATGGTTTTTTAACTATCCAACGGGAACTCTTCATATTTCCGGAATGAAAATTCTAAAATGTAATCTGTCCAATAGTAGGAGTAGGAGATTAGCCAGTACAGACTGAGAAACAGAAAAATCGAAAAAAATCTGGATTTGTTCTATTTCTCTTTATATAAACCCCCAGACTTGGTTTTTAGCATTTTTTTTTTTTCTATGTACAGGCATTCGACCTCTACAGTTTTATTATATGTATAGATGTTATTAAGAGTCTTTCATTTAATTTATTTAGAGGGTTAATAAAAATTCATAATAAAATAAATACTTTTCCTTAAAATTAGAACTAACGATTAAAATTGTCACAACAAGAGACAATGATGACGAAAATGCGATGTGCTTTGACAGAATGTCGGTGTTGATACTCGCATGCTGCCTTCCTTCTGATGTCTCTATACATTAAGTCATGTCTGCTTATATTTTTGTGAATATACTGATATTTATACATGATTTATTAACAATGGGATATTTTGTTTATCCAGAAAGCACAAACACAATAAAACGTAGCAGCAGCAATGAGGACGCAGTCAACATGAAAGTGGATGTGAAGAGTGAACAGGAGATTGAAGATGACTACAGAGATCATCCATCTAATGTAAGCATATTGTCCAACATTATATATATCTGAAGTTTAATTTACGACGAGAAAATTAAGCTTCGAATACAGATGTCCGAGCTTCGTTCGTCGTATTATATTCGTATCTGTACTGTTATCGGTTGAGGAATTGGTTCCAGACGAAGCAATTCCTCAACTGATAACAGTAGAGATACGAATTTTATATCCAAATAACCAAAAACCAAATTCTTAGGTTTTACATATCAGTATACTCTTGCATTGCAGTTTTTGTATTTTTTCTCCGAAATGAGATATTTTCCCGCGGTAAAAAGCATCCTATATGTTGACCTGGATAACCAGCTATCACCATACCAAATTTCATCAAATTCCCTCCTGTGATTTTTCTGATGCGTTAAGAGACAAACAGACAAACAAAAATTCTAAAAACATCGATAATAATGAGTATTTTAAGAAGATTTTTCAAAAAATATCCAATATACAGGTTCGAATACGTTAGAATTTTACCATATGTATAGATGTATATCGTACATACAGATTTACAAATAAATACATATTGACATTTAATTTGAATTTAAAAAAATGTGAAAATAAACGATTCAAAAGCGCTTGTATAAGTATTCGCATGAAAAATATTTTGATTCGATTGTACAATTCGCTTGCTCCCACAGGAGGCTCGGTTCGTGTGCACGACGTCCTGGTATCTGTTCCTGCGCCTGCACGCGGTGCTGTGCACTCGCCTGGGCGCCGCACGTCGCGCCGCGCTCGCGCTGGCAGCTGGCGAAAGTGCGCGCGCGACCGCCCGCCCGCCCAGCGTGGCACGCGCTTTGCGACTCAAACCCGCCAATCTGCCGCCCACCATCACGGACGATTCCTCACCCGCCGAGTACTACGGCGCTCTGCTAGAGCTAGTGCGCGGCGTGCTCGACGGAAACCTGGACGCGGCCGCGTACGAGGACGCTGCGCGAGAGATGCTCGGAATCAAGGCGTATCCGGCGTACACGCTGGACAAGCTCGTGTCGAATGCTGTGAGACAGGTGGGTTTTGTGGATGGGTGGGCGGATTGAAGGGATATGTAATGTATAATGTATGTAGTGAATATTATATGTATATTAAATTCTCCTGTTGCGCTAAGTTTGTGTTTGTTCGTTGTTGTTTGAAAGTGGAACTGTTGAGGGATGTTATTTTATAAACTAAGTGTTTGTCCATTTATTAATATTTTACACAAATAAACTAACAATATTTAGATAAATGCGAAAAGTATTAAGTACCGCGAGTTATCTTAATATTTTTTTTATGTTTTACTTAAAAATCAAATAAAATTGAAGGATTTCAAAGTCATATAAAATAATTTCTTAAAATAATCTTGTTGCTCGAAGGACTACAAAGCTGTACGGACTGAGATGAAAACCCCTACAGTCTTTGGTTGATAGTGATTGATACAGATAGGAATTATTGATTATTAAATGATAGTCCAAGATAAACTTAATTGTATATTAACCATACTTTTATGATAGAATGATATTATTGATAAAACGACCCGTGAACGCGCACGACGGCGACTGCGACACTACTATTCGGACTCATTAATTGAAATTTATATATATATATATATATAGCCTCTACGTAGTACAGTGTAATGTGCTTAAGCGACAAATATTGTATACTGGCCCGTACACATACATATTTAAATATGAATATTTTTTATGAACGTATAACGTCTCGCCCTTAGCTACAGCACTGCGTGTCGGAGAGCTGGTCGGTGCGCGCTGCGGAGATGGCGGCGCGCGGCGGCATGCGCGGCCAGCCGGCGTACGTGCGGCGCGCGCTGCGAGCGCTGCGCAGTCACCACACCACCTTCCTCGTCAAAGTGGTCAGTGTATTGCATGAATGGACACCGAAATTTTATGATTTTTTTCTTAGTTTAAGTAGGTATCTGGATGATTTGTTCAGTTCACAACTGGACCCCATATATGGAATTAATTTAAGTTTGGAATTCAATTATCTTGTCAATGGCTTCAAAGCGTGCCAATTGAGCGCAGATTACTCCGCGAATATCACATAGTACGGAGAAGACACGAAGAAGATTGGTCGGTTTTATAATAACAAAAAACAAATCTATCCCACGGTAATCGATCATTTTCCGGGATAAAAAGTAACGTATGTGCCATCCCAGAGTATAATCTATCTCTGTGCCAAATTTCATCCAGGTCCGTTCAGCCGTTCTGTCTTAATTGTGTATGTAACAAACAAACATCCATCCATCCAAACTTTCTCATTTATAATATTAACGGAATTAATTAATTAAAAGAGCAACTGTTGAGTTTCTCGCCGGCTCTTCTCAGCAGTACTGCATTCCGAGCCGGTGGTAGATTTCTCACGGACTGACTACCTACACTGACTTTAAATTTAAAATGTAAAATTGACGGTTCAAAAGAGCTTGTAAAAAGTCTATTTGAATAAAGTATATTTTGATTTGATTTAATGTACAATGTCGTCCACAGTACGGCGGGGACGAGTGCAAGGTGACGTTTGAGCTGCTGGAGGAGGCGGGTGAAGGGCGAGCCTCGCCACACCACGACTCGTCCAGATTATCGCCTAATAATCAGGTAATATAAATATGTTGGGACATCAACACACAGCACCATCTATTTCCATGGTAAGCTACGAGGCCTGTGTTATGGATACCAGATAGTTGATACACTACACATATAACCTTAAATATATATTTATAAATATAAACACCTATGATTAGAGTACAAATATTCATGCTCTTCACACAAATGAGTGCCCCCAGCGAGACTCGAACCCGCGACCGCTGGCATAGCAAGCAACACTACAGACAGCCTAACGTGTTGTCAAAATATAATTAACTAGCGACTCACCCTCGCTTCGCTCGGGTTCTTCCCTAGGTACGTTTTATATTAGTATATAACAGATAGACTATATACTGTTATATACATATATTATTTTTTTCAACTTAAACTTGACGTGTTGTTGTAGATGGTAGGTCCGCCACTATTGAAAGTAATCCGAAGTAGTGATTCCCATACAAAATAACCAGTTCTGAACTTATCGATTTTCCAGCTCTTCTTATGGGATTTTCCTATTTTTTTTTACATTTAAACCATCCCTGATATACCTCCAACAAAACAAAAAAGAATTATTCAAATCGGTTCAGCCGTTTTTTAGTTTCAGCGAGACTAACGAACAGAAAAGTGATTTTTATAATATAAGATAGGTAGGATTTCAACTGATGAATAAATCTTGTTAGATGGACCTAGAGATAATGTTTTGTGAAATGTGTTTCAAATGTATGGGGGAAAATATGTATGTATGTTTTGGCATTACTTGAACTATGAACATATATGTTACTGGTCAAATTTGATTTTAGGTCAAACTGACTTATCCTGGGACAATCTAGTTTGGTCTAAATACTTATGGTCTAATTAGATTTTTACAACAACATGTAAAGTTTTTTTTTTCATTTGTTAACGTGTGTTTAAAAATATACCTTATATATTTTTTCATTCTGATATAGCAAATAGAATATAAATAAATAGCACAGTAACTAATAACCAAATGAACAACAAAAACCAACAGTCGAGATCGCGTGAGACGAACGGCGAGGCGGCCCATCGGCTGGCGGCGTGGTCGCTGTACGCGGAGCGCTACGCGCGGCCGGACGCGGGCGGGACGGCGGCGGAGCCTCCGCGCAACAAGCCGGTGTTCCTGCGCCGCAATGTGCGCCGCGCTGGCGCTCCGCCCGCCTCACCTACAGCCGCCGCGCCGCCACCCGCGCCCACCCCGCGCCGCCGCAAGCCGCCGCGTTTGCATGACCACTCTGAGTGCACGCTGCACAATAACACCATACGGTGAGTGATTAGTGTGCCATTATGCTAATCTGTGTATCTACTGAACCGATTTAGATGAAATTTGGTAACGAGATAGTTGGAGACACTGGGAAGGATATAGGATACTTTTTATCCCGGAAGTCATCCCTTAAGCGGGTGAAAATGGGGATGAAAGTTTGTATTGGTAAGCAAGCTAGGGACGAACCAGAGCAGAGCGAGGGTTAGTTGCTCGTGTTATATATACTAGCGAGTAGCGACTCACCTGACACATGTCGCTCCGCTCGGGTTCGCCCCTAGTTACATCTAAAATGGGGGGTGGGGGTAGAACCGGTCGAGCCGTTTCGGAGAAGTGCCACCACAAGATACTAGATCTGACACGAGATATATATTAGATAGATTATGTAACATTATTCATAATGACGCCACTAATTTAAAATAATGCCCTAAGTGAGTATTCAATATGATTAATTGCTATTAAAATAATTAAATTGACCGGGTTTGATAAATAGTGTGTTTATATTAATTAAATTAATTTAATATGTGAGTCGCATTATTATTATAAAAAACAACAACAATGAAAAGAAGGAATAGTACTTTTCAAATAAAAATATTAAAATACACTTGGTATGTTTGAGGGGAACGTAGCACTTATGATATTGGAAGTTCTGGGTTTGGAATATAAAAATGACCTAACGAAATGGCTAAAGCTTAATGTATTAAGTTTATAGATGAAGGAAAACATGCCTAAGAGAACCTAGCATTAGGAGAAAGGTAACTATATCAGTCTCGGCAGCAAAACTTACAGCCTAGCCAATATTGAACAGACATAACGCGCACTTTCTATTAACTGATACTAGCATTGCCCGCGGCTCCGCCCGCGTTCAGATGACCAAAAACTAAATTCTTAGGTGTTACATATTAGTATACTCTTACATTGCAGTTTTTGTATTTTTCCTCAGAAATAAGATATTTTCCCGCGGTAAAAAGTATCCTAGGATCGCGCGCTACATCGCCCGGTTTATATAGCTTGAGCAGGCGGTCGAGCGATGCGGGGCAGAGGGGATGGACTCGCCGTAGGCATCTCAATGCTCGCCAAGCATTAAAAATGTTTCGCTACTAATTACTTCTAACAACGATATCTCAAAAACTATTCATCTGATTGATTTAGTGTAAAGAGCAATTTTAATCTGCATTAAATGACTAAGCTAACTAAAATATTCATTTGGATAAGGATTAATACCGAACTAAAGAAAATAACTTTGAAAATAACGTAATGTTTTTAATTAAAAATGTTAACATAAAAGTGGTTATTGTAAGTCAACCGTAAGAGATAGAGATATGCTATCGCGGACTTTTTTGTAGCATTTTTATAGATTTTGAATTCTCTAGTACATTACTTAACTGTATCTTTGCTAGTTTACGCGGCGTTCGCGTGGAAAGTTCCCATTTGGCGAGATTTTTTGCGACCTCTTCAACATTTGTCGCCGTATTTCAGCTAATTTACATAAAAGCATAATAAATTATATACCTAAACCTTCCTCAAGAATTACTCTTTCTATTGTTGAAAACCGTATAAAAATCCGTTCAGTAGTTTTCGAGTTTATCGCGTACAGACAGACAGGAGGACAGACAGGAGGACAGAAAGACGCGGCCGGGGGACTTATTTTTATAATAAGTATAGATAATATGTGTGTATGTATATACATATATACACACTGTGCCTGGATTCGAATTCGAGACTTCCCAATCTGAAATTATATGTACATGTCAGCAGCTAGACTAATGAGTTAAATAGTTAAATTAATTACATACACTAATGACATATTAATATTTAAATATCATGTCGATAAAGACGTTGCTGTTGAAGTTTTTAAAATTAACGCGTATAAACAAAAGAAAAATGGACAGACCTATAATCATTACATAGTATAAAACAATGTCGCTTCCCGCTGTCTGTCTGTCCCTGTATATGCTTAGATCTTTAAAACTACGCAACGGATTTTGATGCAGGTTTTTTTAATAGATAGAGTGATAGAAGAGGAAGGTTTATATGTATAATAAATGTATATTATAGTACAGAATTTAACAGAGAAATTCAAAGATTTCTATTTCGTACTAACCGTTGAACCGTTAGTTATTATACTTAATTTCAATTAGAAATAACGAATTGATTTCTCCCACAGACTGGTGGCATGCCGCCCGCAGCAGCTGTACCGCTCGGGCTGCCTGGCGGGTGCTCGCTCCTCGCACGCGCGCCTCGCGGCCGCCCGCCGTGCTAAGTTCCGCGCCTGGCTCGCGCGCCGCGCCGCCGACGTGTAGACGGACAGACGACCCTACATACAAACATTGCAGTACAACAATCCATACATACATACATACAGCGGGCGATCGCTAACAGCTGATTGTAACGTACATAATGTTTTCTCATAGATTTACCCGAATATTTGACATTTTAAATAAAACTAAACTTTTATTTTGATATTGTTAAATATTTAAAATCATTTTTGTGAAATAGTGTTAGATAGATAGGCACTGTCTGTAACAAGTATATCACGCTTTTGAGACGTCTACAACTTTAGTCTCTCCCGTGACCGTGATCGCTGTAAAGCATTCGAAACGTCGGGAACCAAAAATCAAAATAAATCCGCGATTAATAATCCGAAAAGATAGTTTTATATAAAATGTACGTAATGTTGTAAAAAAAAACTTTGTTGTGGCAACCCTGATAACGTCTCCCGTCTGACATGTAAATCGTATGTGTGACAGTCGGGTGCGCCTCGTTTGTTTGGCTGTATGGATTGTTAGGCTGTGGCCACACACCCGCGCGACCGCCTGTTAAATTATTGATGTGAATGTTGTTAATGTATGTCTCGCTCCAACGCGAATGATTCTCAAAATTAATTTATTTTTATAGTAGATATTTAGATTGGCGGCATATCGCGCGGGTGCGTGCGTTTGTTGCATGGATGCGCTCCGTTGGTTATTTTCTTGTACGTTAATATTATAATATTGTTTGATGATTCGATATGGACAGACAAATTGTTGAGTGTTTTTTTTTTATGTATAATTGCACAAAATTTTGTTTTTTAGTGTAATAAATTGATTCACTGTATATAATTAATTAATTAAGGCGGAGCGCAAACGTTGTTGCATTACGATTTTGTATCACAACGAGTCTTTTTTTTTATCTAATTTGTTTTTTTTTTTTTTTTAATTTCGTTAACATTAAAATGTATCTTATGATTAATCCCGAAATATTTCCATTTCCCAAAATGTCTTGTCTCCGGATATATAATCGTAATGCGCAATCTGTACCGGTCGTAAGTAATACAGGGTAGAGTGCTGTATCTCGAATAGGAAGCTCAAAGGCCGGTCGAGGCGAGCCCCGTTTTAGTGGCCGCCCAGCGATATGATGTGTACATACATACATACATCGCGATCTCGTGTAAATATATAGCTGTTGGTACCAACTGTTGATTGACTTGTGGAATAAATATTATTATATTTATAATGTGTGCCGTTTTATTTATTTCTCTCTTGATGGTTTTTTTTTGTATTTAGTAATAAGTAGTTCTGTCTTTATTACGGTTCCGCACTCGAAGGTTCCCAACGGGAACTTTATTGCTACTAACTGGAAGGATTTTGATGAAATTTAGTATCCGGTCCACATAGGATACTTTTTATTGTGGGAAAATATATCATCTCTGATAAATCAGAAATCTATACATATAATAAAATTGTAACTAAGCCGAATCTGTACATTAAATATTTTTTAGAAAATCTTATTGAAATAGACATTATTATCGATACAGAGGCCGAATCTATAGTTTTTAGAATTTTTGTCTGTCTGTCTGTTAACGCATCACGGAAAAACCACTGGAGGGAATTTGATGAAATTTGGTATGGTGATAGCTGGTTATCCGGGTCAACATATAGAATACTTTTTACTGCGGGAAAATGTCTCATTTCTGAGAAAAAATACAAAAACTGCAATGTAAGAGTATACTAATATGTAAAACCTAAGAATTTGGTTTTTGGTCATCTGAACGCGGGCGGAGCCGCGGGCAATGCTAGTCTATACTAAACGTCAAAACGTAAGTAGGGACGAACCCGAGCGGAGCGAGGATGAGTCGCTAGTTTTACTGATATTATTGGAAGACGACCCATTATTACCGTAGTATTTCAGAAGTAAGTCTTGTTATCTTGTAGGTTCCTTTCGGTTCCATACCCGATTGATGCCAATTAAACCCCATTACTAAGTCTCCGCTGTCCGTCCGTCCGTCTGCCAGATGGCTGTATATCATGAACCGTATTAGGTAGAGAGTTGAAATTTTCACAGAGTATGTTATTCTATTGCCGCTATAACAACAAACAATAAAATTACAAGAATTTTTTTAACATTCGTAATCAATCATCGAAGTTAATATACTACATGCATGAAGGTCATATTAGTTAACAATACTTTTTAGTACATGATCAAAGTATGGGAGAAATTAAAATCAACTCCAATAGAATTATTTACATCAGTTTAACAATGTTTAAAAACTTGATAATATTACATAACGTAAGTCAAGTAACTTTTTCTTCTTTTTAAAACGAAACAACATAATAATAAAAAATATTTTAGGTTCAGAAAGTCTCCATGTTTGACGAAGTTGTAGTTTTTGGTTCGAGAGCGCATTTTAGCTCTATTTGATTTTTGTAAGTCTTCTACGAGGCTTTGCAGTTTTTTCCGTGCCTGCCGTTTAATTTGTATCAAATCAAATCAAAATATTTTATTCAGCATTAAATTATTACAATTTTTTACTGAAAGTCACGAGTCTACTACCAGTTCGGAAAGAAGCCTCAGACCTGAGAACTGGCGAAAGATCGTAAGGTATCGTGTATGTACATTTGTTAAACGATCATACAGCATATGTTACGTTTTAGTTTGGAGCTTTTATGTAGTTTCTTTCGATGGCGTATCCATTGTTTAGGCAGGTGGTAGCTCCGCCTTAACAATATTATAATTCGTCGTCAGTCAGCATGCCTTACACAATGAATAACTGGGTCATTGCACTTCAGCTGTCGCGACGGCTTGTTGTGATGCGTTAGCACTGCACTATTGGTACTCGCGGTCACGTGTAACACAACTGTTCTCAGAGAAAATTGTACGATAATAATATTAATAAATATGTCGGAACATCAACACACAGCACCATCTAGTTCCATTGTAAGCTACGAGGCTTGTGTTATGGATACCGGATAGTTGATACATTACATATATAACTTTAAATACATACATATTATAAATATAAACACCCATGACTGGAGTACATACCACAAATGAATGCCCCCAGCGGGACTCGAACTCGCGACCGCTGGCACAGAAAGTAGGGCCACTACAAACTGAGCCAAACGTGTCGTCATTCGATGACGATGACACGATACAAAATATAAAAACTATTTAGTGTTACGCCACACATGTACGATAGTACACCTTAGGAACCCTTCGTGTGCGAGTTCGACTCGCACTTGACCTTTTTTTTATTATTCTATAAACATTCAGAGTAACACCTCGAACAACATTACGTAAAGGAATGACGTATTTTATTAATTCATAAAACCAAACACAACGCTTTTCTCGCCCTTTTTCCATTCAAGATGACGACATATAGAGTCAAGTAATTATTTTATAATTATATACATATATATATATATATATATATATATATATATATATATATATATATATATATAAAATATAATATTTAATTATTAAATAATTACATTTACATTGATTATGATATAAAATCTATTTTAATATAATTATTAATAGATGTATAATTGATATTTATATGATTACTAGCGACTCTCACTCTCTGCGTTCGGATTCGTCTCTACTTATGTTTCGACGTTTAGTATAGATTTATGATTTCTCAGAGATGAGATATTTTCCCGCATTAAAAAATATCCTATATGTTGACCCAGATAACCAGCTATCATCATACCAAATTTCATCAAAATCCGTCCAGTGGTTTTCTCGTGATGCGTTTCCAGACAGACAGACAGACAAAATTTTTAAAAACGATAGATTCGCCCTCTGTATCGACAATAATGACTATTTCAATATGATTTTCAAAAAAATATTTAATGTACAGACTCGAGTCAGTTAGAATTTTATTATATGTATAGGAATCATTAGTTAAAAGAGTTTGTACTGCGTATTCACAGATGGCGCTCGTCTTTAACGTATTTTAAAGATTTTCTCGAGTGTGGCCTTCACAAGTTATCACCAATCGGGTTATCAATCCGTGATTTATCTCCCTGCATGAATACTCATCTCTGATAAGTTACATAACTATATATGCCAAGAATATTTCAAGATACGATTGTAAAGTACATTGCCCGGATAAACTGCATAATATTACAACTTTCGTAGTATTTTGAGTTAAAGTTAAGTTTTTTCATTCATTCATTCGTACAGATGAGACAACAATGGCAGAGGCTACAGGTTTCATGAAGTTACAATTTTATTATACGTAGGTATAGATAGCAATATCGTTACAATTTTTTTAGAATAAAAACAAACGTGACGTAAAATGACGACGTGTTTGGCTCAGTTTGCAGTGACCCTACTTGCTGTGCCAACGGTCGCGGGTTTGAGTCCCGCTGGGAGCATTCATTTGTGTGATGAGCACGAATGTTTGTACTTCAGTCATGTGTGTTTATAGTTATAATATGTATGTATTTAAAGTTATATATGTGCAGTGTATCAACTATCTGGTTTCCATAACACAAGCCTCGTAACTTACCATGGAACTAGATGGTGCTGTGTTTTAATGTCCCAATATATTTATATTTAATCGTCCGAACAAAAAGCGGGCATGTGCTTTAATATTTGTTAGCGTACCTTCCATGCGAGACAAACTCGCACTTGTCCAATTTTTTATTCTGCTATATGCTGTTTTCTTCTTTATCTTGTATTCCCTCCATTTAAGGTCATATTATATCCATGCATTTTATATACATCCGTCTTTAAAACAATATTTTCGACATATCTTATTTTACTAATATTACAAAGAGGCAAGTGTGTAAGTCTGTATGTTGGGAGTAATCTCTGAAACTACTGATCGGATGCTAAAATTTCTTTCACTAACAGGAAGTGGAAACAGGAGTGCTGTATGGAATCTTTTATTCCGGCAATAATAATATGTTTACTGTCAGTTATCACAACTTTAATATGGAATATGCGTGCTATTTAAGTAAAGGTGAAATATAATATTTAATATTTGCTTTTGAAGTCTGCCTGTATATTAATATTTTTTTTGTAATTT